AATATTTGTAATGGTGTTGGATACCGATGCTTATGACCATATGTCATGGACGACACTGTGTGATTGTGTGTAACGATGGGATCGAGTCATCGTTTTGTTACTAAAATTATAGAGTCGATATCGATAGGCTTAGAGTAGTACAACGAGACGAACTAAGGCCTAGCTAGATGATAATTCACTTTCCATTTTACCTTCTTCTAATCTCTCCCACCTCAACTCGCCCTTGGCTGTTGCCAAAAGTCAAAACAGATCATTCGTTCCGCTGTTCAGTTGCAGTAATGAGGTTACACGCGGTTATCGAACCGGTTTATATTCTGTGTCCACACCAAGCAAAGATCAGTGGATCTGAGCGGTACAGTCTTGGTACCACGTACTTACGGTAATGCCGCACCTTATCGGGTAGGGATAAGGGATCAGACTTCTGTCATAAGATCGTAATGTAGAAGTCAGTCAGGCAAGGTTTTGGTGTTTTATTACCGTCGTTAAAGAATAAAAAGTTCAGTTCCCCTTTTGAATCGTTGGACACAAGTGCCTAGTCAAGGCGTAGTGTTGCTGTTAAGAGCATTAGCCTTGTCAAGGCGTTTTTTCTTGCGTAACTGGTAGTCTCTTGTCAGTGTGTGATTCTGTGAATCGAAATCCCTTTGGAACCGGGATTGTTTAGCTTGTACGCTTGAACGACTGTACGTCGTTCTTAGTTTGTTAAAACTAAGAGACTCTTTGAGTCTGTGACTTCATCTGTAAAGGAGCGCTAAGTAGCTCCGCTACATGGTGCATAGCAGCTGTAGTCAATCTACACCTGAGCCTTCACATACTGAATTCTCTGCAAGGATGGAAACGGTCATGAACCTCTCTGAGGCCCAGCATATCACTCTTGAGAATCTCACAGCGTTGATCGGGCACGATCAAGTGGCTCTTATAGTGTCGTAAGGTCCGGACGCACTTCATGCACGTCTCGAAGCCTTCTCGAACTTTGGGTCCACGTTGATCGGACAGGTTTATGACCATTTGGCATCTGCCATGCCCACTAGATATGTTTCAATATCGGACACTGAGTCAAGGACTCGTCATCTAGTCTGAGGTGTCAAGACTTTCGAGGAGAAAGAGGGAGAAAATCTTCTTTCGTAAGTTCAAGAGACGGAGGTTGCCACCAGTTCGGCCCTGCTGCAATCGGAGCAGCAAAAGGTGGGCCTGGCCCTATCGAAGTTAGGTGGGAGAGCCAAGGAGTGGGCCCTCACTTCTGGCACCTCAATAGAAGAGGCTTCTTTCCACCTGGGACACGCTAAAACAGCAGCTATCTCGAATGTTTGCCCCGCCTAATCAGGCATTTCGCGTGCGATCACGCTTCCTGTCAACCGCCAGGGTAAAAAGTACCTAGTCGATTATGTCCAAGAGTTGCGAATTCTCATCGCTGCCATGCAGCTTGATCCTTTACCTGAGACGGTTCTGGTTTTGATGCAGCATGACGTCCGACTCTTCTTGTCTTGGCAATGAAAAGCCGTTGACCAGTACTGTCAGTAGCGTTGCACTCAGAGCTTTGAGGATGGATCATGCAATACATCGCAGTAAGTGACAAACTACAATAAAGCCACATGCTTTCTAATACATTCCTGAATGCACGGTCCGAGGAGCATTTGGCTTGTCTAGATCATTGCAAAGTTGTTTCGCCTGATGCAGACTAAATTGCGTTCTTCTCATCCTTTAGTTGCGCCATAAATGGGAAATGAGCACCGATCATGAGACTCATTGTCTCGAAATGAGGTCGATATCGTCCTCATTTCTATCAGCCTGACGCATGTCTCCTCTTCCACGTCTCTCCGAAGTCTGCACCTTGTTCTATCTCACAATTTATGCACTCGTCAGGACCGATGCAGACAGTCGCTCAGTGTCCTCAATATTTTGACGCCGTGTGCTTCGGCATGAGTCGAAAGTATCGAAATGCAGGTGTGGCATCGTCTGTTGCCACCATTATACTCTCGCCGACCGTATGCTTGACCAATTGAACATCATTTGTCGATGGATGGGACGCGTTAAACATCTACAACTGAACGACTACCTGTGGCTAACTCTTTCTCCAACTACGCAAATTTACATCATCAGGTATTTTTGAGTCTGGTTTGCTGTCGATTTGACAGATGTCAGATGAGAGCGATACACATCGTTGCACCATGCTAGAAATACAAATGGACCGCATGTGCTAGATAATTGCGGACAGTCCGCGTTACCCCTCCACCCTTCAACATTGGCAAACGTCACGTCTAATCGTTGGAGATCATAAATCCATTTTAATACGTATTTCAGTGTACATGGATTCAGACTATGTTTATTGTCGGGTCTCGACGGGGCCATGTGTGTCCTGGGCTTCTGCTATTCGCCTCCACCGAGGTTCCAATGGCATCCATAAGCTTGTGCAATCCAAATTACATAGCTCGCCCGAGAAGGGTCTCAATACTGGTAGCCCACGCATCATCGCACTTTAGTGTTTTTTTCAATGATGATCCAGGGATTCTGTGGTAGGTACCGGAGACTCGGCCAATGAAGACGTTTGAAGGACGCTCATGCAGCAAGTGTTCCTAGGCTCATAAAAGCCTACTGCGCCCAAGCCTTTAGACCTGGTTGCGTGGCTTCGACTTGTAGTCGATTAAGGATAGCTGGGAATCTGCTGCATAAAATTAACGGCTCTCCCACCTTTGGAAACACGCCACTAGGATAAATGACACTGAGGAGCAAAAACAGTAGCAATAGAGGGCGAAGACTCGAGAGTCACTACCGAAAGTTGTGGTTATAGACCTTAAATGTTTGAACGCGTGGCATTCATAGATATTTTCGTGGATGACTTTTGCCAAACAACAGCGAGAAAAACAGTTGAGCGAAGCAATGAGAGGGCTCAAGGCTGACGTGGCGCTTGGTGACATGGCGCCATCATGTTCGGGCAACTTTCCGACCGACAGTCGATTGCAGTTGCGGCTAATGCCCCAATGAGCTCGAGATGAGAGAGCTATACTTACGTCCAGGAGTAAATCTGTGGCAAAGGTTTTGCGCTATGGATAGTTCGAAACTTTCGAGCAGCGCTAAAGGCACAACACACTCATGATCAGGAGGCGCTTTTGCAATCATGTCAACAGTACGACCGCACTACTGTCGTTCAGCTCCTCAGGCATCTCGTGACGAAGGGCTGTCGTATTTGATCTTATTGGCGTGATTGTATGCTAATCACACCCACTCGAGTATTTTCATGACCTTGGCCTTTGTAGTCGTCGTCGCTCCTTGTAGGGCAATTCTGTCTGGTGAAACTACGTGCAGACTAGCGCCGTTCATCTCTTCATCGGGATCTGCATTAACTCATATCCACTCATAGAACCGTAGCACTGGAGGCGGTGGAGCGTTCCATGGTAGGCTCGTCAAGTTTTGTTACGAATGAAATGGGTGGGGACGCGAGCAGGGTTGTAATTGCCGTCTAATATTAATTGCGTATTTGAAGCTTTACTTGGCGCAGGAGACGGTGTTGTGTACCGCTTTCATCTGCCATCTGTCAAATCGACGGCAGATCACGACTCAAAAATAACTGATTTTATATCTTTGTGTAGTTGTGGATAGAGTTGTACACAGATAGTCTTTCAGTTGGAGATGCTTTACGCGTCCCTCGATAGGTGCGGTTTCTAACAGCGTAAAGCAAGGTGCGGCAGCGTAGAAGTTGCATCTTGATTCCTTTTCAAACTGTAAAGAACTGCGTTTCTTAAATGTGCAAGCGGTAACAACTCCGTAGGACACGACGACAGAATACAAACGCTACACTGCGATGCTCGTACCAATCTGGAACATGATGTAGTCAGAGCATGTTGTCTCCTAAGAGCTACTTCACTTCCGGGCATCTACAGCTCTCGAGTGTGCTCAGTTGGTATCGGAGCATGATTAATTAGTTGAAATTGACGCTGCGACTTGATAACTGTGTCTACAAGCACACACTGCAACAGGTGCAACTGCTAGCATCAAAACGACAACATGTACACGTAGAGTGCTCGTGGAGACCTTTTGCAGCAACGAAAGGACTTTGAGTCTACACCGAAAATTTGGTACTACACCCACAGGCGCATTCAGTGGTCTACGAGCGCATGAAAGATCGACCTCCTGCAAACGTCTGACTTATCGTCACAAAAGTCTGACCTCTGCCAAAGATTGTTTTTCTTGATCGCCCAAACAGGCGAAACCTCGTACTTCAGTATTCATTATGCCCGATAAAACAGTCAAACGATGCGGCTTGATCAATTATTGAGTGTATGCGCAAACCTGGATGACAGACCGAAGCACTTGAATGACTGAGACTTGTGCGACGAGAGAACTTTGACCTCCGTTCCATCATGCGTTCAGACTTCACGTTGAAAAAGAAGCAATCCTCATCCTGTTCTGTTGCATGTTCATCCGATTACACAAAAGGTAGTAAGTAAGAGATGATCAATTCCTCGACACTTCACGTCTTTCAAGACTTGAGTCAGTCATCTATAGAGAACAAAAGAAGATACATCAACACATACGCGCAACGTCGTAGACACTTGCCATTCCGTTGACTACAGGAAGGAACAATGGAAAACGGCTGTGCACAACGCACCAGCAGGAAAACTGAATTGGGCGACAAGTTCCTACTCTGAAGTCTTCACCTTGCACTATTGTTAACACACCCTCCTCCTTCCATGGTGCCCGCATCCGCAAGTCTCACAGATCTAAGTCGTGCACTTGTCTCTCTCCCGTCCCCTTCTCCTCCTCCTCCTCCTCATCTCGATCTCCTTATGTCCAGCTCTTAAAATCTCATTAGTTTTCCGCCTAAGTCCACTCACGCCACTTTCCCAACCTCTAGGGTTTAGTATGAGTTTATCCTGGCTACAGAATTTAAGAAGTGTAGAATGCAAAGGCGTCACCACCCACGAAAAGACAGAGGAGAGAATCAAGAAGGAAAAGGAATTCATACATGCTCAAGTCCAAGAGATGGTAGCTACAACTTGGACCCTATGAAGGGCAGCAAGCCATTTAAAGACGCGATGATTCGGCCCTCGCTGTCGCTCATATCGCTCTCGTTGCAGTTTACGCTGTCACCAGGAAAACGGTCGTTGGACTCGGTCACGCAGCGTCAAGAAAACCGTGGAGCTTTTAAGATTCAGAAGACGCAGTGAAGTGCTCCAAACGTTTCTTCATTCAGGGAGAAAGTGGGACAACCCGTCAGACTTGTGAACACGTGTGTACAGAAACTTTATGATGGAGCAGATGCGAAGGCGGTGGACAATGACAAGTCGATGATGACAACGATGCCACTAAATGTATTGTTCACGAGCGATAAGTGGTCGTCTGTTGTTTTGGATCAGACGGGGGGAAAGAGGAGGCAAGATGCAATTCGAGACGAAGAATTCGACGACAGTACGTATCTCCGCGTCTCGTCCCCGGCGCTGCTTGATGTCTCACTCTTACACCAGCACCAGCAGCGCCTCGGTATTGTACACACTCTTTTCGCTTTTATTTGCGTCTTCAGGGTGCTTTAAATACACGCTGCTTCTACCTGTGCCTCAGCCACAAGATGACGATCGATCGCGGCTTCCGCTTAAACGGCTTCATTGTCGTTGTTCTTTACTATTGTGACAATTGTCAGCGACTGCAACAGAGCTAAGTGCTGGCGTCTCGAGGATCCCTTCCTCTGTCGCGTCTTTGGCTTGCACTAACGCACTGTTGGAGTAACAAGGGCGAGTACTGCTGCTCTTAAGGACCATCACAATTGAGGAGGAGCGCAATGGGGATTTGAGGAGCGCAATGGGGACTTGGATGCGAATTGATTGGCCAGGACGAACGCGACGTCACTCGAGTGGTATCTCGCGTAAGTGATGTGGTTCACACGACTTGATCGAGACCTGTAGCCATTTGGACTGTTCGTCGTGTGTACGACTAACGACTTAGATAAGGAAACGAGAACAGGCGCTTGTCGGACGAGTGACACATTGGTCGTTAATGTCGTTTTGCTACTGCGAAGATAGAGGAAGCTGAAAGCAAACATGGCTTGGATCAACGGTGACAGCCTATGGTTAAAACGGACGATTGTCAAGTAGCTGATAGAGTTGCATCAAAGACGATTGCTACATTCACTAAGAGTACGCTTACATGATTATCCTCGTTTTTACTATGATTGCAGCGCCTACAACCACTGCAGATGACGTTTTAGTCTAGCTTAGCTTGCAGTGTCTGAACACTTTCTACTTCTCAATCTCATCGTGCAAATGCAGCGCCTTTACTACCATCTATTTGAAGACTCCATTTTCGACATCGCAACGTACACGCTCAACGTCAACGTCTAGAAAGGGTCACATAGATCTCAGTTCCAGGCAAATAGCTTGCAATGTTCATTCTGGTGCCTTGCGTAGCACTCGATACCGGTAGTAGCAGTCAAACCCACACAATGCTGAACTGCACATTAAATCTACCACCCAAAGCCCGTAGACCCAAATGCTCCGTTTCGAGTTGTAGAATGAGAAGGTCTCCTGGCTCCTTCTCCTGATCAGATTATATCATTTCGCGCCGCTGATCAGGTTATATCATTTTGCGCCAGGTTGGAGGAGACTTATGCAAGTTGGTTGGATGGAGCCATCAGCTGATGGGAAGGACAGGAGTGGATATTGCCTTACCATAAGCGTTTTCCAGGCGCTCAAGTTGACCAGAACCCAGGGCTCGGGCACTTACAAGATTCTGTAGTACTTTCAATTGTGGCATTAACCCTTGGGTTCTCGATACCGAAGGTAAGCCTTTGAAGCATACACAGTTCGCCAGGGTCCCGCCGTGCAAAATTCGTGACCTCAACATTCTACGCACAGGACCTCGAGAGTTCGTCTTCACTATTTAATCTCTTTGCAAAGATTCCCCGAGCCATTTGCACCCTAAACTACGGAGATGGGCGAAGATGATTTTAATCGCATCACCAACAATTGCGATTGGGTCGGGGTTGGATATGGCATGACTGATCTTACGGCACCCGCCGCCTTTTCGGCGTCTATATCAGTGGACTCGAATAAACGACACCTTGGTAATGGGTACGTGCCAGGACCATGTTCCCCCAATAGCTTCCCTAATAAAGTTGCGCCTGGGAGAGGACGGACTCCACTGGTTTCTGCAAGGGGATATGCCGGCCTTGCGATGTAATTCCGAAAGCGAGTATATGTACTGGCGACGTAAAATCTCACAGGGCCTGGTATCTCTTGCTCTCCGTCCCTCCATCGATTTCCTTAAAGAGTGTCAGAGACATTTGATGATGGACGAATGTGGACATCAATTCAACGGAGTGCATTTCATGATCATAAGCGTCGGCTTCTTCCAGCTCTGCAGAAATGGATGACTCGCTTCGAAGGTCAGGCACGGACAGACCTATGGCTTGTGGCAGTAGCACATCAAATCCCTACACCAGTTTGGAATCACGCAAATAGTCTTACAGAGTACCAAGTGTGAACTTGTTATCGCATCGCTACCAACCAGGTGAATCTATGTCACGCCGGTCGTTTCGTGGACCACAGCTGCAGAAAACTCGAGCTCTTCCATGGACGCAAAGATACCACGATGCATTTATTCTGGGATTGTCCCACAGCGAGAGCATGCTGGAGCCTACTCATTCGGCACTGGACTGGAACGGATGCAGGAGAGGCCGAGATCACAGCTCATTTTTGACATTGTGCCCATCGTCGGGCTCCATCGCTACCTCACTGTCTCCGCGTGCGTCTGTTCCATCACTTTCAGGACGATCACAAGGTCGCGGAGGACGAATATAGACGCATCTGGTTCGTACTCTGCTTGTATTCCAAGTGCATCTCTGTGTAGAGCGCAATGAGACGGTATTTCGTGGACAGCTGTCATCCACGGTTGGGAGTGCGTCTGCATTTTGGGAAAGCGGCCTGCGGCAGCTCAAGGCGATCGCTCTACGCGAACATCGGTCGGCGATCACTGCTGTCAGCGGAGCGCGTCTCCTCGCCTGTATTGAATTACTTCGGCAAGATCCGTAAAGATACCCGACTTAATGGGACATCAGTCACGAAAAGCCCCCACACCTGCGCTTGCATCCTGGCTTAGAACTTTTTAGACATCTTGCTCTTGTTGACATGTGAATAGACGATCGTGAAACTCCTCCTTAGATAAAGTTCAGTTCCCCTTTTGAATCGTTGGACGCTAGTGCCTAGTCAAGTCATTGTGTGCTGTACGAGTGTTAGCCTTGTCAAGGCATTTGCTCTTGCGTAACTGGTAGTCTCTAGTCAGTGTGTGATTCTGTGAGTCGTAATCCCTTTGGAACCGGGATTGTTTAGCTTGTACGCTTGAACGACTGTACGTCGTTCTTAGTTTGTTAAAACTAAGAGACTCTTTGAGTCGAAGACTTCCTCTGTAAGGGAGCTCTAAGTAGCTCCACTACATAGTGCACAGCAGCTTTAAGCGCCCGTATCCATCGCTCGGCGGCACGGGAGCTCTCTACCTTCTGCCCCCTCCTCGTTGCATTCAATACTTCTTCCCGAGCGCACTTTTTGTCATCAATGCTGTACATGTGAGATCTGTCGTCGTCTCTCCTTTATCTCATCCTAACTTTCAGCACATTAACGAGTGGATTTATCGCACAACGCCCAACGTATCGTTGATATTATTACATTTTACACGTACCATGTAACGGGGTGAATCGTTACATGACAATTTATAAGAAATTGTTAATAGAATGTAACTATAAGAGTTATATTCTCAGAATATTTTCATAAGGACAAATATTTTGTAGCACTTACGAGTAGTTCCTAATTGGTTGATATAGGCCATTATGTCAACCAACGAAGACACGCCACGACAGACGCACGCAATGAGTGGTGAGCAGATAGTTGATATGCACATTTGTATTCAGACATAGTTAGATGAGGATAAACAGGGGGTTTATTAACAGACATTAACTATGATAAATACAGTTCTACTTTTTACTTTAACCAAGAACTCGCTTCTTCTTACCGTCTTCCTCTGCACGTACGAGTGTACGTGAAGTTCCGAGGCACCGCCTTATTCTGTCATCAGAATAAGTAGCTTGTACTGTCACCAGTACAAGCTTCAGGGTGCCCCGTTACACCTGGTAGCACTTCGTAGTCCGTCCAAGGACCACGTTCACATCTAACATGAATATTTTGGATGATGAAGATGTCCAAAGCTTTCACGCTACGCGTGACGGCTACTCCCATTTGAGCGATGTCGAATGGGATGCGGTTGAACGGATGGGTTCAACCATGGGCATCCATGCTGTCAGCGTCATGCTAGAGGCTTTCAATAGAGATGTCCAACATGCTACTATCGCCAAGTTCATCCAAAATGAACTTGACGCTGAACGCGAGAAAGTAGCCTTGCTTTGCCAACAAGGTTTTCAACAATCAGAGTTGTTGAGAGAACAGGGTGCTCAACAGTTTGAACTGTTGAGACAGGAGCAGGCTGCTGGCTGTGGGTCGGTGCATTCGAGTCGACCCGAGACCTTGAAGGTTGACATCTCCAAGTATAGGGGAGCCGAAGAGGACTCCCTCTTGAGATGGTTCGTCGAATTAGACGACGCCATAAGGGCGCGTCGCATCGACGACGGGGATATGCAAGTTGCAATTGCCCAATCAAATCTGGCAGGACGTGCCAAGCATTGGGCACTGGGGCTCAAGTTGCACGACCCATATGCGTTTGGGTCGTTGGAAGTCTTCAAGTCGCGGCTCAGACAAACGTTTGAACCGCCTAGAGCTGAGTTCAGAGCTCGAACCGAACTCTTGAAGCTCGAACAGGGTAAGCGTGATGTGCACGCTTATGCACAACATATACGACATCTCACGAGTAGCTTAAGTTCCAACCCGGTTGATGAACACACGTTGGTTTCGGTGTTCATGCAGGGTCTTGCGGATGGTCCCGTCAAGACTCACCTGTTCCGACTTGAACTAGATTCACTAGAACAAGCCATTTCCATTGCGGAACAGGAAGACTTCAGCCTAAGACAGGATCGCGCCAGCTCGACATCATATCCTATACGAGACGATATGACAGCGGAGGTCCAGAGCCGATGGAACTCTGTTATGTAGAGAGCGAGAAGGCTCGCTCTACAGACTACAAGAAGTTGCAGAAATGCAACAGATGTAAAAAGACAGGACACTACGCTTACGAGTGTAGTGCCCTTCGTCCAGTGTCTCGCAACACTGGGCGTAGTGACCGTCGACCCATTAGAAAGGGGCAGGGTCGCGGGTCCGCTGTTGGTGCAAAGACGCAACAACGGGATGGACAGTCAAAAAACGGAAAGGATCTGTAGGTGCGGAGCACCCTACTGGTCCAGCAACGTCAAAGAATTTGTAGGCCTCTTGATGAAGGTTGCTCCCAACACACAAACATTGTGCGTAGCTACTCTAGGTAATGAGATCTCACATATTACCTTGAAACTCGAAGTGACAAATAAGTTGTCCCTTCGAGCTCTAGTCGATTGTGGGGCGTTCAACAATCTTGTGCAACGCCAATCGCTAGAAGATGGTCACTTTAAAATCAGTGAATGTGACACACCTCCTACGAGGATGACGGTACGTCTTGCGACAGGCGCATCCGTAACCGTCATGAAGCGTATAGTGAACATTCGCTATACGCTAGAAGATATCCAACATGACGATGACTTTATCGTATTGGATTTGGATGACAAATATTATTTCATCCTTGGAATGCCGTGGCTCAGAAGGTGCGAACCACGGGTAAACTGGCAACATCGAACAGTAGCGATGCCTGCCGCTTGTTCATCAGATGGCTATCTGATGAACGTTTTGGAGCGTCCACAAGCGTGTGGATATACTACGAGTAAGTGCGATGGTCTCACTTGTGGTACGGTCGTTAGTACGACTGCACAAAACCTAAGTGTACCAAACGGTTACACTTCGGAGCAAAGTTCCGGCGGCTGTGAGGAAACACAGGCTGCGCCGAAGGTCCACCACTCGAATAAGTCGAGTGGACCGGGACAAAGATGTATCCCTAGCGGGGAACATCTAGAAGAGAAACGATCGATCGCTCAGGTTAAGCGAAACGATAATCCTAGATCGACTGGAGAGTCTTTCGTGGAGGATCTCGCTGTGGTTGCGCAACCCCAGATAGAGGAATTTAAGGGAATAAGTCCCGATATTACAAAAACGGCGGAAATAAGCTCCCCGAAACCCGAGGGAATAAGTCCCCGGGAAGCCGAAGGAATAAGTTCTTCGTGGCCTGAGGGAATGAGTCCCCAGGAAATGACAGAGACATTGAATGTCATAGTCAATAACGGATCAAGTGTAGGCGCTTATACACTTGATCTGATTGCGCCTCCGAAGTTGACTTCGGAGATCACTCAGTTGCTAACGCTCGAACGTAAAAGGTTCTTGCGTGATCTGCGTAGTGGCAAAGTCAAGCAGATCTGCGTACTCGTCGCTGACGACGAGTGTGTAACCGACATAAGGTCAGCAACAATGTTTACTGAGAACGAGAGAGTTCTCAGTAGTTCATCGATGGACGAGAGTGTCCTCGATGAAAAGACACGAGTTAAGCGATTTGACCCCCAATCGTGGGAATCGCTCAAGACAAATCCTCTTTATAAAGATTTGGTTGAGTTCAAGGATGTATTCCTTGAATCAAGGATGTATTCCTTGAAACTGTTCCGTGCGAATTACCGAAGGTAAAGGTATTCGGCAAGAGGTCGAGCTTAAACCAAGCTCGAAGTACTGTGTCATGAAGCAGTGGCCACTGCCTCGTGAACAAGTACTTGCGATCGACAAGTCTTTTGCCGATCGTTTAGCTGCGGGCCATGTGAGGGAATCAACTTCCCCACATAGCTCTCCGACCTTTTGTGTGCGAAAAGCAACAGGGAGGTGGCGGACAGTGCACGCGTTCAACAAATTGAATGCTGCAACGGTAACGGCTCAGAAGCCGATACCAAGGAAGGACGCAATCATTGATGGTATGTCAAAGAGTACCATCTTTTCGTCCATGGATTTGATGGATGGCTTCTATCAAATCCTTATGCGAGAACGGGATATACCCTATACCGCAGTTAGCACGCCTAGCGGCATGCTCTGGGAATGGCTAGTAATGCCACAAGGGCTTAGTAATGCCCCTGCCACGTTCAACAGATGTGTATCACATCTGTTGAGACCAGTACGAGAATTCGCGCCGAGTTATTTGGATGACGTATTCATCCATAATCGGGCTATGGATGGAAAGTCGGACGTTGAGGTTCACAGATACCACGTCCGACAGGTTCTTACAATCGTGCGAAAGCATCAATTGTATGCAAACCTCAAGAAGTGTATATTTGCAGCAAGCGAAATACCACTACTTGGATGCATCGTTGGTAAGAACGGTGTACGTCCTGATCCCGAAAAGATCAAGGCGATCACCGACTGGTCTGTGCCGGTTGATGTCAAAGGTCTTCGAACATTCCTTTGGCTAGCAGTGTATTTGCATAAGTATTCACGCAATTACGCCGAGATGACTGTACACCTCTCTCGTTTGTTGAAAAAGAACGAGAGGTGGTTATGGAATGCTGAATGTCAGCACTCCTTTGATGGCTTTAAGCAGAGCTTGATACAATCCTCAGTCCGAGCAATAGCCGATCAGGACAGGCCATTTCATGTGGTCTGTGATGCCAGCAATTTCGCAATCGGATGTGCACTAATGCAGTACGACCTAGAAGGCGTAGAACGCGTCGCCTGCTATCAGTTGCGTCAGCTGCAACCAGCTGATCGGAACTACCAGTGCATGACAAGGAACTCTTTGCCATGAAGTATGCACTCGCGAAGTTCAGAGTCTATCTAATAGGAGATAGACCCTTCATTGTTTACACTAACCATGCGTCGTTACGCACGGCAGTGAACAGCCCGCACCTTTCACAACGAATGGCGCGGTGGTTGTCATTCTTTGCAGAATACAACTTGACGGTCGAGTACAAACCAGGACGACTTAATGTCGTCGCTGATGTACTCTCACGTCGTCCCGACTTTGAACCAGTCGTGCAACCCAACAGTGAGACAGCCACTGTTGCGGTTATGACGTCCTCAGTACCATCTTCAACGTTACATGATGATGTGAGGCGGGCATATGCCCAAGATGGTGAGATTGTGAAGTTGTTGGCACATCTCTCACAACCATCTCGAGAATCGTTGAAACGATTGTCGTCTGCGTATCGATCTGCATTAGATCTATACACTACTCGCAACTGTTTACTGTATTATACAGCCGTTACTGATGACACACCACGTGTTGTCATTCCAGATGATACTGATCTGCGTTTGCGGATCATGTTCGAGTATCACGATGCTTCTATAGGAGGACATCGTGGTCGTGAGAAAGCGTATCTCACGATGAGTCGAGACTTTTACTGGCCCCGCCAGTATCGGCTTGTGCGAAAATATGTCCGCGCATGCGAAGTCTGTCAACGAGTGAAGTCAAGTCCTTCACTGCGTGCACCTTTACAGCCTCAACCAGTTCCGGCAGAGTGCTGGGAATCCATCTCAATGGATTTCGTCTTCGGTTGACTCAGAGACGCCCGCAGGAATCGCAGGAATACGGGTATTCTTGTATTTGTTGACAGATTCAGCAAAATGGTACACCTTGTGGCTGTACCGAGTCAATCACAGCAAGTGGCTGTGCTTGTGTCTTTATCGACACCATCTTCCGACTTCATGGGTTGCCCAGTGAACTCGTATCAGACAGAGATCCACGCTTCACTGCTGATTTCTGGCGCTCCGTGTTCAAATCACTCGGAACGCGCTTGAAGATGTCGACATCTGATCATCCAGAGTCAGATGGTCAGACGGAACGTGCCAATCGTGTCCTCGAAGAGATACTTCGAGGATACGTACACTCCTTCAAGAGTTGGAGAGAGTTCTTGCCCATGGTAGAGTTTGCCATTAACAACTCGGTGCATGCGTCCACGACACATACACCGTTTTACGTGAATGGCTTGCGCCATCCGCGTGTACCCACCTTACTAGAGTGTAACTCTGGTTTAAGGGGGGGGGAGGACTCGCGCGATCAAAAACCGATTTGGTTCACGCTCATCACGCTCTGACGAAGAGGTCACTGCGTTTGATGCCGATATCGACAACATCGATATCGAAGAAGATGATGCCAGTGAGAGTTCTGAAGCCCTCACTGAAGAAAAGATTGATGTCGCTGCAGTGCACTCACAGCGCACTAAAGCTAACGAGTCAGCAGATGAGTTCATACTGGCTCGTGAAACGGTAGTCCGTTTTGTGCAAGACTCCATCGCCGAAGCGGTGGATAAGCAAAAGCAAAATGTTGACAAGAATGGAAGGGCAAACACTCTTTTATTTAATAAAGGTGACTTAGTCCTACTGTCTACGGTTAATCTACCAAAGCATGTAGTGACTAACTTGGGTAGTAGTAAACCACTACCCAAGAACATCGGCCCATTTCGTGTATTGCATCGCCTAGGCAACGCATACACGATCGAACTGCCACGTAAGATGCGAACGCATCCCACGTTTTACGTTGGTCGGCTTAAGCCGTACCATCAGTACGCTGTTTCTTCCGATGAAGAATGCCCTTGCGTTCAAGCATCTCACAGAGGGCCTTGTGCTCCCGATGGTGGAAATCAAAAAGGGTATGAAGAGCAGTTATCTCAGCCCGAGACCGGTCAATATCCCCACGAGCTACCCTTAGCTCGTCACGCAGAAGGTCAGAGCTCTCTCGTTCTCAAGCTGAGCAAAGGCAAACTCGCTCGATGCTTCGAGATAGTGTCCGCCATTTGGAGACGCCTGTCCCGCTCATGTTCGAGATAGTTGCGTAGCTTTTGTGTTGCGCGATCAAAAAGGCTCTCGGGGACACACGCTTCCTCACGATAGTTTATAGAGCGTTTTCCCTCCTCCTCCACCTCCTCTGGAGGACTCTCGTGGTGGCCAGCGCTATCTGGTTGAGCAGCTGTTGAACCACCGCGACGTGAACGGACGTCGGACGAGTTATCTCGTCCGGTGGCGCGGCTATACCCCGTCCTGGGATACTTGGGAGCCCCGCTCCCAGCTGATGATTGACGTACTGGGTCTGGTTGAGCAGTACGATGCGGCACATCCTGTGCCGCAGAAGGACCGCCGGAGAAAGTCTTCCCGGCACGATCGTAAAGGGATTTCAGGTTGTCAATCCCTTCGTACATCTCAGTAGAGATACGTACGCGCCACCACGGGCTAGTAAGGAGGTAAGCCTCCTTAGGTGCTCGTGCAGAGTTGTTCACACAACATGGGCACGAGTCTCCCCAAGAGAGGCAGGGTAATCCTTTCTTCCTTGATAGACGATGCATCTTGTAGCGTGCACCTGTCGGGGTTCGCTTTTCAAACTTATCACGAGCTTTGATAAGTTTGTCGTTCCAAGCGTCACGACCTACATCCTCAAGGTTATGGATGTAGGCGTTCCACGCTTGAAGCAGCGAGGGACCATCACGCTGTGATTCCCACTGTACCGTCGATGTCTAAAAAAAGCATCGATGAAGAAATTATTCTCAGCGCGATAGTTTTTCGCGCTGGGGTCAAGGTGATGGATCCTTGACGAATCGAACAACCGTGTTCGATAGCGATCACTCGTCGTCGCCGACAAGTGATCCATGACTGATTTTGGAGGCATCCATGCCTTTCTTTTCGAGAGCGAGACGCAACACACTGCGGTCCCGCTCTTCTTGCGACGTGCTGACAGAAGTACTGGTACCTCGCTGCGAAGTGGTGTCAATAGGAGAACCGGAACCACTGTGAGCGCCCGAGTTTTGCGACCTCGAGCGCCTTCGCTTCGGCGATGGTTCCTCTGATTCGTCAGATGAGCCAAAGATGCTACGACGCATAGCATCATCCATGCCACGCTTGGCAGGCGGCTTGGATTCGATCGCCGTCGATGCAGAATCATCTTCCGTATCGGGAGAGTATTAGACACCGAGCTCATACTCTGAGAAGACATGAGTGTCTTCAAGACGAGCGCCTGCATCAGCAGGTGACACAGGCTGAGTCGCTTCAGCAACCGATGACACATCAGTTGCTGCGGTTTCTGCTTCGGCGTCCGCACAGAGACGTGCAGACGCGCTCTCGGCGGCCTTGCTCGCGCACCGCATGGGCTTGTTAACCATGCGATGAAATGTTGGGAAGTGGACTCGGACCAACAAGTGCAAACCCTGTCCCAAATGATTTGGGACGAGTATCCATTTAGTCAATCAGTCACTAAAGTGACTGATGGTTAAGGGGGGGTGATGTAACGGGGTGAATCGTTACATAACAATTTAAAAGAAATTGTTAATAGAATATAACTGTAAGAGTTATATTCTCAGAATACTTTCATAAGGACAAATATTCTGTAGCACTTACGAGTAGCTCCTAATTGGTTGATATAGGCCATTATATCAACCAATGAAGACACGCCACGACAGACGCACGCAATGAGTGGTGAGCAGATAGTTGATATGCACATTTGTATTCAGACATAGTTAGATGAGGATAAACAGGGGGTTTATTAACAGACATTAACTATGATAAATACAGTTCTACTTTTTACTTTAACCAAGTACTCGCTTCTTCTTACCGTCTTCCTCTGCACGTACGAGTGTACGTGAAGTTCCGAGGCACCGCCTTATTCTGTCATCAGAATAAGTAGCTTGTACTGTCACCAGTACAAGCTTCAGGGTGCCCCGTTACACACCATCCATCCTGCCGCCACCCCAACCGATTCAAATGGGTGCAGTGAATACCTATCCAAAACCTTGTCAAGTCCTCTGTTCCTTCCATCAAAGAACGAGCTCTTCAAGTTACTTCTTTACTCACCAACCGCAAACGAGCGAATCATCGTGTCTCTACCGATAGCGATCAAAGTACCATAAAACGATGACCAATCAGCCTCGCATTGATTGGTCGTTCTCGCCTCAGTTTAGTCGTTTAAACCATCAACGAAAGCAATGACAAAATGATGAAACGATACCACATGATTTTATTCAGCAAAACCTAAATGATACGAACAGTCCATCATAACGTCTGGACAGTGCAATGCGCTCGTCTGCACATAGGACGCGCTACAGCTCTCGCGACGAACGACTTTGTTCGTCGTTCGCCTTATAATGATCCCAACAGCGGCTCAAAACTGCGTGCGAGCGCACCAGGAGTTGATGCGCAATGGCTCCATGTGGGCCCACGAGGCATTGGTAGTTCCGATATGTGGGCCAAAGATATGCCTCGTATCAATATGAGCAACGCTTTGATGGCGTCATATACGAGCAACTTTATCCAAACAGCTGTGAACCCTGTACTGGCTACACGCGACCCAAGCGACAAACAGGCATATGTTGAAGCTCTGGTGCTAAACGAGACCATGCAAGACGCGCATATCCCACGTGAATGTTTTGTCATATCGACCCTCATTGGCAGCAATGTGCTTCAAGCGACTCATAATGCCAAGCCCGAGGAACGACTGACCAAGGAATACGTGGAGAAAGGGGTGGCAATGACCCGACAGGAGCTGGATGTCGAGACGGTGGACCATGTTGTGTGCCAGATACCAGAGGAGCTGCTGGCCCGACGACCAGAAAAGCAGAGGGAGGTGATGGACAAGCTGAAAGGCACCTGTGACGTGCTGGAAGCCATGTGTGACAAGGGAACTGTGCAAAGTTACGGCTTTTCGCTGCCAATGGTGGTCGAGTCAAGTCAACTACTGGAGGAGTTAGTGGACAAGACGTTGACTCCGCTATCTGAACAGTTTGGACGGTTTGCATCACTGCAGCTGTCTCAGCACGTTGGTAGCGCGCTGTTTCCACTCCCGGAGAGTGTGATGCAGTTTCGTACCGAGCGTGAGATGTTTTTTATTGGAGACCGACCGCTTGAAGCGATGCTGTCGAGTGGTAACCCGTTCCATCTGAAGACGTACGAGACTATGAGTGGTGAGGAGGTAGCGCTGCAGCTCAAGACAGCGTTCAACTTTGCGATTGCTGTGGAGGAGAAGTACGCGAAAACGATACGTCCGGAGAATGAACACCCTGATTTGCCATCGACAGAGGAAGTGGCGTGGGCGCACGTGTTGGCCAACCAGTGCAGTCAGTTTGACAACCTTCAAGTCTGGATATACGTCCGCGAGACCCAGATTGCACCTCGCTTGGACGCCACCCTCAAGCAATTGAACAAGCACAAGGAGACCAAGGAGCTGGGGTTTGCCTACTTGATGGCCATGAAGCAGCTGCTGAAGTATTTTACGAAATCAGTTGAGGTAAGTCGATCGACGAAGTGCGCTTCAAGGATGACGGCACACATCCACTCACTTGTTTATTGTAATGCGTTGTAGCTGGAAGCTGCTGCGCGATCGACTGAGCTCATGGCTGCATGGAAGGAGGAAAAGGGACTGCTGCCGTCCGACTCGATCACTATCGAAGAAGTGGCAGTAATGGCAGCTCTTAGCGCCGGTATGGACATCGCGCTGCTCGGAGAGCAGCTGCCCGCTTCGTCATCACTGCCATTTACTGAGAAGTTTTCCTTTGGTCAACTACAACAGGCTGCGAGGCTAGCAAAACCTCATTTTATCGTCGCATAGGCACGTGATGAGCACGTTTGTGCACCGTAGAGAAATTGTGACGTCGCGGTTTCCATTGCGGACTAGAAACTGCCTGTGCAATCATGAGAAAGGCCCGAAGAAGGCTTGCACCCATCCTAGCACTCCTCAAACAGCTTTCGTCTTTCGCATTCATCATCATCAGCCTGGTCAACACTATCGCGATTGCAGCTCATTTGGAATACCAGTCAAGTTGCCAAAGACCTGCAAGAAGCTTTTGTTGAGTACTTGCACTAGTGCAATGGTGCCGTCGACAGTCATGTTGACACGCAACAATATCAAGTTTCTGGCCATAGCTCGAGCCACGGACAAAGTCATTGTGGCCTGCTACTTGCACTCTTCAGACAGCATCTCATCTCGCGATCGTAAGGCAGACTTGACCTTGTTCAAAGAGATGTTGAGCAAAGTCATTCGAGCTCCGATGTGGACGTCGCAAGTAGTACCCGACGGCCGCAACTCACTCGAATGCGATAGCAACAAGTTCCACTTTACAATGACCAACGACGAGCTGGTGTTTGCAGCCATCACTTGCAAGGAGTATCCTGTACGCTTGGCATTTCAGGTGATCAATGCAGTGCAACGGGTGGTTGTGTCCACCTATGGCTCCAAGGCCTTGACTTGTGCAGAGGTATGTACGTTATATGTTGCAGCTTGGCGCACCATCAAGTGCAGATGAGCTGGCAGAGTTTCGCTGACGTCGTCTCTGTAGAATGAACTCGATGGAGATTGCACGCAGCCATTCGCAGCAATTGCTACCACGTACAACGACCTGATAAAGCAGGACAAGTTATCCGAGGTCCTGAGTCAAGTGCACGACGTCCAGACCATCATGTGCGACAGTATCCACATGGCACTGTCCAACACGGAAAAGCTCGAGGTCGTGGAGCAAAAGACGAACGACTTGACCGAGCAAGCCAAGGTCTTTTGCAACAGTAGCCGCAAATTGCACCATCACGTGTGGTGGAAACACTTCAAGCTCGTGCTGGTGCTTCTCTTCATTGCGCTCCTCATCCTCCTGCTTATCCTCACGACGCTCGGCGTATTCACCAATCGTTCCAGCGCAGAAAACACACCCGCTCTTAACGCGACAACCTTCCGTCCGACTCATCTAGACACGTACGCACACCTTCAGAAGAAACAACAACAACAACAACAACAACAAAAGTGAAATTGCAGCCCAAACAACAGCATTAATCCCACACCAATTACAACTGCAACTGCAACTGTAACACCGCTTTCCACACATGTAGCCATTCCATCCCAAATCGTCTCTTTTCTGTTGCGACTACTTTTCAGTATCACTCTCTCACTCTTCCCTCTGAAAACAAATACAGCTTCCAACTACTTTTCCCTCTCTTTCTCTCTCTCTCTTCCCTTTGAAAACAAATACATTTCCAACCATGGCGGCCACCACGACCACGACCTGCAGCTCCGGGAGCTCTTTGACCGCTCAAGCGCTCGAAAAGACGCTACAGGACCCGCGCTACGTACGCGGCGTCACGTTGCTCCAGCAGAAGCGTCTGGACGAAGCGCTCGTGGTGCTCGAGGACCTTTTGCGCACCATGTGCGACGTCGAGAAGAAGAGCGACTCGCTCGAAGTCGCGCCCGTGTGCTACGAATACGGCCACGCGCTGCTGAGTCTGCACGAGACAACAGCTGGTGTGTTCCAGTGTGCTACTTCAGCTGCTGCTGGACGGTCCCGCAGTGAGGAGGACGAGGCGAGCGGTGAAGCGGAAGAGGGTGGAGCACCCAATGCACTGGACGAGGACTTGGAAGCTGCGTGGGACGTGATGGAGCTCGCGCGGGTCATTTACTCGCGCTATCCTGGTGATGAAGCCGTGGAGAAGCAGCTGGTTCGAGTGTATACAAGACTAGGGGACTTGGGTCTCGAGAGTGACCAATTTGAACAGGCCAAGGTTGATTTTGAAAAGGCGCTGGAGCTCCGGAAGAAGCTGCTGAAGAGCAGTCAGGCTGAGGACACGACGCAGCTTGCCGATCTGTACTGTCAGCTCGCTATTACTTGTATCTATCGAGATGCCAAGCCGGATAATAAGGAGACTACGGAGACAGGGTCGAAGGCCGAACTTGGCTACTATGTCATGGCTGGACGCATCATGGCGGAGAATATCCATCGCGTGGCGAAGAAATGCGATGAAAAGCTGCAGCTGTTTGTTGACGCTCGTGTTCCCACGTATTGCAATGAAAATGACGAGTCTGTGGACGTGGAGGGAAGTGGAAAGCGGAAAGCGTCGTCAAGTGCTGAGGCGTCGAAGCTCTCGCTGAAGTTCCACGGAGACCGTCCTGATGCCGTCGGTGATGCGTTTTTGGCTTGTGTTGGCGTGAAGAAGGAGGAAAAAGGTACGCTGAGAGACGACGAGAAGACGTTGTTGGAGTACCTGGAGATTTACGTGGAAATCAAGGAGAAGGTCGATAGCATCAAAGAGTCGATGACTGAAGCAGGAGATGAGGAAGCAAAAGAGGATAGCATTCCCGTGACGACTGTTGGGTTCGAAGCGTCCGATGCTGTCGCTTCGGTCGTGAACGTGATGTCGGTAAAAAAGCGAAAGACGGCGGCGCCTGCAGCCATGCCCAACGGAGCGACGGAGAACCCCGCAGCCACGTCCGATAAACCGACGGTGAACCCTACACTTGCTGACAGCAGCTGAGTTGAGGGGCATTTGCAAGCCCAGACGCAACAGACCCGACGATCAAGCTAACATGTTTTTTTCCTTTTTGTGCCACGGTGTAAGTGAGCGTGCTACGCAGCCGCTTCTGATGTCTCTCTTCGCTTTTGCTACTTGTCGTTCGCGGCGCAAAGCCTAAGCACTGCGGTACGTATCACGAATGAGCTGAAAGAGTTTGATGGCGTCCGCATCTGCCGAGGCGCTCGTACTAAAAATCCCAAGCTGCAGCTCGTCAAGAGCACCTTCAAGCGGCACACGGTAACGGTGGCCTATGGCTCGCATCTGCGCAAGCGTACTATGAAACCAGTTGTCATGGGGATCAGAGTCCTCCCCTTCACACTCCGCTTTGTGCTCTGTCAGCACTCGATTAAAGCCTTTGAACAATAATAAAAGCAGCTGCCGCATCTCTTCCTGCAAGCGCTTCCGGTCGTCCTCAAGCGTTGCGACATCGAGCATTTCTTCGTCACGGTCTTCCGATGATCTCGGTACTGCAGCCTGCCCCATCTTTTGCGTCTTGGCGTCAATAGCATCCTGGACGAACTTCAGTGTGTCGCGGAGAATCTCCCACACGTACGGCCAGCTGTACTGCTGCACAGCATCAGGGGTGAAGACCCATGTCACGATTGCAACTGGACGAAAGAGCTCTAGACGCAGCATAGCGTTCAAAATCAGACCGATATGCTGCGGCGACTTTAACCACACCGAAGCTACGGTCTTGACCAAAGCGAGTTCATCAGCAGTCACATCTTCACCCAGCTGGTACGAAATGCCCAAGAGCTCGCCGCGCTTGCCATACTTTTCCAGCAGCAGCCGCATGTGTGTGAATGTGGCCGCACCAGCCTCTAAGATGCACGTCCACACTACTTCGATTGCTTCTGTGCGCGATATCTCCAGACGTGGGAGCTCTTCGTTAAGCCATGAGTGCAGAGCAGCAACAGGCGGATGACCTTTCAGCTTTGTTGTCACCGACTGGTAAAACTCTGACGCGGGGCTGGTTTCATCAGCCATAGCACAAACTGTCACATCCTCCTCTTTTGCGGCATGAAAGCGAATACGGGGCTTGGGAGCTGGAGGCAAAAGCACGTGGAACTCGGCGGGAAGGGTGCTCTGCATATGCTGCAGGTACGAAAGACGCACACAGCGTTCAATAACAGCGCTAACAAAAAGACGCTGCGGATCGTCCTCACTGGCTTCCAGCACATACGACCATGCAGTCCAGCGCCACTTGAACTCAAAGTTCGAGAGAAAGTGACTCAAGAGCAGCACGAACGAATCAACGGCGGCAGCACGCATCATCGGCACTTGACGAAACAGCAGCTCGACCACTACAGCCAATGCTGGAGACACCATACTAGGATCCGTCTTCACAAGGTGGTACAACATCGAACAGTAGTAGGCAAGCTTGGCATTTGTGCTCTCGCTCAAAGCCGCCACCAACAAGGTCTCCACAAGCAAATACTCCGTCTTCACGGGACTAGCCCCTTCTGCTACAGATGCCGCAAACCGGGCATTTTGCGTGCGGCACAGATCCAGCAGCAGTTTGGCTGCAATGGCGGGCTTCGGGTACGACGTCTCAAGTGTATCCGTTACATGGCTGCGAAGGATCAGGTATGATGCCAGCGGCATCGTCGCAACAGCAGCACCAGCGACGCCAGATTCCTCCGTCAGGATCCGGAACCACGCCGTGTACGCTGGGATCATGTTCGAGTCAAGCTGTGAGTCAACAGACAGCAAGTGTGTATCAGTACTGCAGATCATATACCCAACCATGCACCACGAGTCGATTGCGTACCTTTAACAAGTCAATAGCCAGTGACACAGTGAAAGAATGCACCTCAGCGTTCTCAAGTTTCGACGCGAAATCGTCCAGCGAATACTCTACACCGGAAAAGTGTTCCACAACCGCCTTGTCCTCTCCCTCAGCACTCTGAACAGCACTCAGTGCTTCATAAACCAGCGACAACACGTCACTCGAAGCACAGAGCGCTGGCAGCTCGTCGTCGTCCTCGGGTCCCCACAGCAAGTCCATCTGCAACCGTCTCGAACGCCACGACAACGAGCCTGCACTTGATGTCCGTAAATTGCTCTCTCCGCCGCGATATAGCACGTACTCTTTGCATCGACTCCAGAGCGTCTGCCCTGCGCGCCTAGACGCCCGCACGAGAGCGTGCCCGCCATGCAGCAAAGCATCCAGCACAACCAGAGCGAAGAAGTCCTTCCACGCGGCTGCATCTTCCTTCGCCCGTACGGACGACATCGTCATCAATCCACCCGTCGCTGCCTCGTCCTCGTCCTCTTCTCGATCTCCATCCGCCAGGGCCGTGCACGGCCGCTGGATCGCGTCCAGCAGCTCCAGCACATTGTCCACAGCGCACACGTTAACAGCACTAAGAGCAGCCAAAAACCGCACAAGGAGCCGCACTCGAATGGCTACAGCTGTCCTGTCGTTGTTCCGACGGAACCCGTCCATGTCCACGGCCTCGGCTCTGTGCGCGCGGGTCGCACGACAGAAAAAGGCCAGGTCCAACTCCAGCGCGCGCGTTGCACCGGCAACAAGAGCTTGCCCGAACCCTGGGTGCCGAGCATTGAGCAAGGCGACAAGTGTCGCATAGAGCGCGGTTTTGTGCGCCACACGCGCGGCCGCGCGCAGCACGAGCGTCACGAGGTGCCCGAGCTTCACGCCTTGCGCGTCGGCCTCCACCTCCTGCAGCAGCAGGTCGCGCGTGTGCAGCAATTGCTGCTGCGTCGTCGTCGTCGAGACGTCGCGACTGCTGGGACGGGAGTCGGCGTCGCCGAGCTCGACGATGGCCTTTTTGGCCAATCGCCAGGCGCGGGCGCCATCGCTTTCCTGCACGCGGTCGGTACGGCGAGGGACGGGACGAGCGCGGTCGTCTCCACGCGAGCGCTTGTGGCTGCTGTGGCGACTGTCGGTGTCGGCGTCGAAGGAGCGCTTGCGACTGGAGCTGTGCATGACGCGGGGATGGACGGGCGAGAATGACTGGCTGGCGGGTGGAAGGTATGTGAGTGGGTTTTTTTTATGATTACGGTGGGTTGGGGGTGGGTGTTTTGGTCGGGGAGAGAGAGTGATGGGTGTGAGGGAGGTCGTTGGCTCGTTGCGGGTGGGTTTTACTATGCTGGATATGAACGTTTCGAGGCTCGAGGTGTCGTTGGCAGTGCTGTGTGAGACAGGATAACGGGGACTGGTGTCACGCGGATTGGATCGGCACGTTTGGGTTTTTCGTTTTTGACTGACACCTCGTTAGATCAGTGGCGAAAAGCCTTGGTTGAATACGGCTGCATACAGTGTCACAAGCCAGCGTGTTGGTTCAGGATAATGTACTGCGTACGTCCTTGATGGAGACAGAATAGACTTATTAGACCCACCTGATGCCATATCGTCAGCAATGGGCCTTCGGCCCATCCAGCTGGATGCGACATCATCAAACTTGGTATCTTTGCCTCAATCGTCCGTAGTAATCTCCATAACTTCCAGACAGATCAAGAATCCCTTACTAGTGATCAAAGCTAGCACAACCGAGATAATCATCTGCAATTTATTTGTGAGGTCGCTGCAATATACCCCCTAAACAACCAAGTAGAGCTAAAGCTGCGTACTGTACTGCAACTTCCTCGTACTGAAGTGAGTCCGATGGGCACGTCCACCTGCTAGTGTCCGTGGTAGGTCGTTCACCTTCGGTCGGTCCATTCTCGATGTTATGATACTTTCTTTGATACTTTCATCGCTGGATCGAAAGTCGCTGAAGTGAGTTCGGACTTCAGCATATCACCACATGGGCCGCGAACTGCAACAGTGATGTGATGCACGCGGTTGCTTTCCACTAGCAACTGCAGCAGCAGCGTCAAAGATATTAATTCTTGATCAGAGCAAGCCCTCGAATGCGGCTGTATTGTCCTGCAGAAGACGACAGGTGATAAAGTTATACCCACAAACACTAAGCTTTTACTGCTCATTCACAGCGAAGACATACCTGGGATTTCCATGAGTGCTTGCATGGCAAAACCTCCGTCCGGATTATCCAAATTTCCTTTCGGAATAGTGTTATAGTTCACAAACTGAAAGTTGTCGAAACGACGCTCAGGTAGCTGGTCATCGAACTCAATCATCGTGTTCCACGGTCCATCGCCGACGCCGACCATGATAATCGCTAACGGATGTAGCACAAGCGAGGTTAGATCTCAACACCCAATCCAGGACGAGAGTAGAAGTATGCACGCACGTACAAAGCGGGTATTTGGAAGCCTCTACAATTGCCTTTCTAGCCATCTCAGGGTCATCAATATGACCGTTTGCGATGATGATCAGGATGTGGTAGCGCCGACTGTTCTTGGCCATCTTGATCGCTTCGTAGATTACCGGGACAAAGCTAGCCGAAGAGTTCAGTTCCATCGTCGAAGCGATGGCAAAATATCGCTGCAAAACATCGTCGAGCTCACAACCGTGATCCTTGGCGAATGCAAAGTACCGCTCGGCAAATGGACGGTCCGGGTACCCACCGTAACCAAAAGCCGGGATAGTGTCGTCGTCATTGTACAACTCGAATACTCTCGTTATGGCCGAGATTACTTTCTACAGACGAAAAAAAGCAAGACTAAGAGGCACGACTCGAGCTGTGACATCAACGACAAATCACCCATCAACGTACTTGGTACGGATTCACCACGCGTCCCGATGTGTCGACATAGTGCAGTGACCGTCCTTCAAACGTTTGCTCTCCTTTCCACTGCAGAAAGACAAAGCAAACACACCGAACCGCCCGTTAGGTAACTACAACAGCCTTCATAGAAAAGCATGCAAACCATCTCCTACCAGGTTTGATTCGGTAAAGTCCACCTGCATTCGTACAAGCAACATCATTAATTACACGGTATCACCAAATAAGCAGTAAAAATGCACCGCAACAAATGGGTTTACAACAAATCACAACACTGCACTGACCGCGATGATCAAGTCGGACGACTGTAACCCCACGCGTCTTGTAACCGCATCATATCAAACAACCATACAACGTTCAAACACATGATCCAATAGCTTTCAACCGAAAGAAGAATGGACTTCACGCTCACCGCAGTGCTTTCTGAACTTCATCTGTTGAACCGAAGAGCCGAGTTGTGTTTAGTCAAGGCATTGTTTGTATGATCAGAGTGAAATTTGTGTACGATTTCATTGCAGCGATCAGAGACATGGACGTACGTACCGAGGGACGTGTAGCTGTCTGGAATTGGCTGGAACGTCTCGGTACTGGAAGCGCAGCCCATAGTGAGTAGTGACTTGGGAAGCCAGAAGGAAAATGAACAGCTACGACGGACAAGCGGCTTGCAGAATTCAGCCAATCGCGTCTCGAGAGCGATTACATACGCATCACGTCGCAGTTTATAGTTACGACGGGTCACTTGCGTCGGTAAATTGTCTACGAAATTGCATGTCGTTCTCAGCTTTTGACAATACTGGAACGATTTGATCAGGTGTCGACATTCTCAGCTAGCGAAAAGTGATGAGCAGGATGCGACTGCAATACTGTCGGGTTCCTCAAGATAGTGACTTGCTCTCGATATGTAGGCTGAATGGGTGTTCGCTGGACTTTCGAAGACAATTTATGGTAGTTCGTAAAATGGTGGACCGGCATGGACAGTCGAATTGGATCAGTGATCTGTTTAGAATCGGACAATGAGACGAAGCATTGAAAGGACATGTGTATCGGTGGTTCCACTGCGCTTTTATCTCGCCAACAGGCATGTCATGCCCTTTGGCCGTCCCATACAGCTCATAGTAGCTATTCATCTTGAGTATGAAGAATCTGCTTCCTGTGAGTACGGACAAAGCGCAAGGACCTCAATCGCTTGCCTCCACTTTCATTCTACAGCTACATCTACGAACGGCCGCACGGGTCCGATCACTGAATGCCACAGCGGCAAACACGGATTCGAAACTCATCACGTCTGCCCCGATCTCTTGCACCAAGTTGTACGTGCAAGGCTTCAGGACCACGATTGTCGTATAAAATCAACAGTCTCGCTCCATTCCTCGAATAAAAGACACGGACGAAACCCCAACAGCAGTCCTGCCACCGAGTCAAGTCTCCACTTTTGCGAAAAACCGCAACTTTCCCATTCTTAAAACCCCACGATCAAGATCGGGTCTTTTCGATCGGAAAGACCTCCCTCCACCTCCCCTCGCGCTACAATTAGAAACGCCCACCCACCCACCCACCCACCTCAGCTTAGAAACGCCTCGACATAACCCACACCGCGTCCACCATGGCGCTCGAGCAGAAGCTCACGCGCGTCCTGCAGCCGCTCGCGCTGTCGTCCGTGCCCGCCAGCGCCATCTCGTGCCTCTTCGACACAGGAGGGACTGCCTCTGTACGTGGCGAATGGTCTGCCTGCGTCTCGCTGCGCCAGCTGCGCGCTCTGGACCGTCTGCTCGCGTTGTATGGACCACGTCAAGGCTGGACGACGAAGAAGCGCCCAGAGGACGCAGATGACGCGCCAGTGGCGCGTCTCTGGCACGTGTTGACGTCATCAGAATCGCTGACCGATGAAGTGTCGCAGATTTCGGACGTTGAGAACCAGGACGCTGTCTATCGCTCGCTCTTAACGTTACTTCAGTCGGTGCTGAATGTACAGGACGTGTACGCGTCATTGAATGACGCAGAGAAGCGCCACGTGCTTTTAAAAGCGCTTATTGCTGGCAAGATCTACTTGACGTGGCTCCCGCTGCCTGGTGGCGCAGCGTACGGTCTTTTTATGTCGTACGTCTATCGTCAAGTGCTGGATACATTGAAGAAATGGATCGTGCTTGTTGCTGCGGTGCACGAGCAAGATAGGAGACCAAGTGAAGCTGTAACGAGTCAAGGAACAAGACGACGAGGGAGACGACGAGGTAGAGGAAGGACCGAGCAGAACATGGGCGAGGAGAGAAGGAAAAGTGACGATGACGAGGAAGAGGATGGTGATGAGGACTGTTTTGTGACACTGGAAATGCTCTCGACGTGTGGATTGGAGTTGCTGGATACGTTCGTGACGTTCTTGAGCAATTTCTCGCTGTCGTCTAGTGAAGAGTCGATTGCTCCGACGGTTGAGACGGCGATTGCGCTGCAGACAGCTGTGCCACCGGAAAACGAAGGCACTGCGTCGGCAATGACGAAGAAAACAGTGCAGATGCTGGAAGCGCTTGTGAGTGGGACACATGGCGAGCCAGTAGAGATTGGGAAAGTCGTGTTGCATTGCTACATTCCTGGCGTGACGTTCCAGGATACGGTGGCCAAGGAAACGAGGTCGTCGTTGCGCTTTCACAAACTGTCGATTGACGTGATCACTCGAATTCAGCGCATTGCAGCAGAAAAAAGTACTGCAGATGATGTAGAGGGTACTGCACGCCAGCGAAACTCGTTGCTGTTGCTGGGTCTGATGCAGAACATTTGCTTGCAGGCACCAGGTCTGGCGGATGAACGTCAACGTGTCCTCTCGTACGTCTACTCGACTGTCATGGCTGGACGGCGAGCAAGCAAGCAAGGAGAAGAGGAGAAGCCAAGCGAGTTCCGGGATGAAGAGTCGGCCAGGTTTGTGCGATTTCTAGCAAGTTATTCTCGCAACGCGAAACTGAAGTATCGCCAATTTGCGGTAGAACTGCTGGGCCGCTTTGTAGTAGAAACCGAGTTTTATGAGATGAACGAGAGCGAATTGCCTGAGACGTTGGTCGCGTATTCGGGCGTAGGCCCACTTCTTGAGGTACTTATTGATCGAGCTCGAGACAAGATGTCCCAAGTTCGTACAAAGGCGATTGCAGGAATTTCGGCCATGCTTACACTCGGCTTGTCAAATTTGGCTAGTGAGGAAGAAGAAGACACTGATGAGCGAATGGACGAGAGCAGCGGGTCAGAAGCCATTGCCACCTCGCTACAGAGGTTGCTGTATGAGCCATCGATTGAAGGGAACACGACGCTCGTAGAAACACCATTGATGCAACGACTTGTTGACCTATTCCGTGAGCGGCTGGCGGATGACAAGACGTACGTGCGAAGAGCTGCGGTGCACGCTTTGGAAGCACTTGTGACTGCGCAATCAGGGGAGACAATACACAGTTCTGCAAGGAGAGACCTGTTCGATATCCACGCGCGCTGTACGGATTCTTCGGTTGTCGTTCGCGTTCAGTCGATAAAGTCGTTGTCAGCAATCTTGCTCAAATTTCCACGCGATGAGGAAGCTCAGAAGCTATGGAACCTCGGGGTCCTTCCGCTCTGTGTGGACCCGGAGACGAGTGTGCAGTCTTGTGCACTGGAAGCAACTGGACGAGTTGTGTTTGAACGGGTTCTGACGTGGTTCGACGTGCGTCGCAATGAATCTCAGCGGGAGGCTTTCGAGAGCGTCTGGATGCAGATGTCGCACCTTGATGGTGTAATGGCCCGCTGTTTGCAGAAAGCAATGCGTATGCTCATCAAGAATGACAAAATTGATGTCGAAAAGATCGTCAAAGCGTGCGTGTTTGCTATCAAAGAGAGCGTGAGTCAGTACGGCTCTGGCGATGCGATGCAAGACGAAGTGGAGGATGACACTACTCGTCAAATTGTGACGCGGTATTGGGGCTTCAGCTGGATTGTACTCGAGGAACTGGCGCTCTCGGACAAACTCGTTGAAGCTGTGAGGGGAAAACAAAAGAACCTTAGCATTGTTGTCGAGTGCTGGAACAAACTGCAAGACCAGGCATTGCCTGTAGAGTTTAATGATGGATCAAAGCGCATTTTGCGTGTGATCGCCGCGATTTCGACCGTTATCGATGCACAGGATGCCAAGTCGATTGCGGATGGCATTTTGGCATCCTTGTATTCATTCGCCATTCCGCTGAACGTCATTGCCGATGGAATCCTTGCCTTGAATAGCATATGCAGAGCCAAAGCCTCGTCGCCTGAAAAGAGCCGCGAGATCAGTTTTGCGTGGGGGAAGAAACTGCTCGACCTATGTGATGCTAGCCTTCGCAAATGTTTCAAAAGTAGCCCAGACAGCGTAGAGGATGAAACGTCGCTGCTGCAGAGGCAATTGATTTCCATCGGTGATGTAGCGCTGCTTGAGTTTGACAAGGACGCTGACAAGAGCAGCGAAGCTGCACTCTTACCGGTAACTTCGAGTCTGAAGTCACTTGTGCAGCTCTTTTTACCACCAAAGTTTGTCCTCGACAGTGCCGCCATCAACCGGTCCATGTCACTATCCACAGAGCAAAGTGATGGAGGTGAAACGACGGCCATGTCGGATTCCATTCCGCTGCCGACTCCTGTTCGCGTATGTGCGTTTGTGACACTTGGCAAGCTGTGTTTGCGTGATAGCGACCTAGCCAAGAAGTGTATGACCATGTTCATTCGGGAGTTACGAACTTGTGAAGAGCAGGACATTCGGTCCAACATCCTGCTGATTTTAGGCGATCTTTGCATTCGCTACACGTCTCTCGTTGACGCGTACGTTCCAACCATTGCCTTGTCACTGCTGGATAAGAGCCGATTGTTGCGTCGCGGCGCCTTGTTGCTGTTCTCCCAGCTAATTCTGCAGGACTACATCAAGTGGCGCGAATCACTGCTACGCTTTTTCCTTCGCGCTGCGGTAGACGAAGACGAAGAACTGGCGAATTTGGCTCGCCACGTGTTGTGTGGACCATTGCTGCAAAAGTCGCCGCACCTTTTTACGAGCAAGTTCATTGAAATCATCTTTGTCTTCAACGGGGTCCAGTGTGGCAAAATCAAATTCTCGGAGCCTTTCGAAGAGGAAGGTGCGCGCGAACTCGCGCTGCTGGGCAATGCCTGTTACCCACGACGGGCAAAGCTGTACACCTTTTTGTTGGAGCATATGACGGACGAGCAAAAGCTGCAGATTTCGATGAAACTCTGCAACGAAGTGCTGGAGGAAGTCATGGATGGTACACTACCGTTATGCGAGAATCCGTCGGAGATTACGGATCATTGCACGGAAGCAGTCCTCAAGGATACTTTTGCAATTCTGTGCTCCCCAGAGATTAAGCTCACTGCCGCAAAGGAAGAAGACGATGAGCTCGAGGGAGCAGACGCATCGACTGGAGCAACTGCCAGTGTCGCGACACAGATCGCAGCTGCCAAGGGCAAGCTGCTGTCCAAGATGTCGAAGAAAAACTTTCTTGAGAATGTCGTGCCAGTGCTCATCGGACTCAAGCATACTCTGGAGGCGAAGCATAGTCCTTTGACTCGCTACTTGCTGCACTACATTCGCGAGTTGTTCAAGATGTACCGCCAGGAGGTGAAAGATATTTTCGTGAGCAGGGACCCGCAGATGGCAGTGGAGGTAGAGTATGATCTGCGGCAAAACGACTTGCAGCGACAGCAGCAGCAGCAGAATCAACAGTCACGACGCATGACCTACGCGTCAAGCGGTAACCAGACAGCATCAATGTCTCCGGAAGCTTCAACCGCCCGTGCTCCCCGGTCACCTCAGGACGAATTTTTCGAGGTCCGCCAAACTCCTCCACGTCTACGCAAAGACCAGAAAAACGTGCCTGCTGGTCGTCGACGACAAGGTTCGAGTCTAGCATCTACGCCAACTCCTCCTCGCAATGGAAAAATACAGTCACGAAAGGTGCCTGCGGACACCGATCATCAGCAGACATCGAGGTCCTCAACGTTGGTATCTGCTTCCAGTCAGGATTGCCATTCGACTGCTGAGGCGTCTTCAACAGACCTGCCGCAAAAGAACTTCACACAAGATGATCCGGACGAGCGCGAGAAGGAAGACGGTGCCGCAGCGCTTGATTGTGCAGGCGATACTGATGAGGACACGCTTTCCACTGTAAACACTTCCAGACGCCGGACAAAAGGAGCAAAGTCGAGAGCTAACGCAAAGAAGACCAGCGCGCGTCCAACTGAGACTACTACCAAAAGCGAAGCAGATCCAGAAGAGCAAGCGAACGACGATGAGGAGGACGTACCATTTCCACTCAAGAAGAAGGCAAAGAAGAAGAAGACGACCAAGAAGACGACGACAGACCGTGCACAACCTGCTGCAACACCACGTACTCGACGTAAACGCAAACGCAATTGATTGGCGTCAACGTCCCGTTCCCAACACCCTGTGCTCAGCTCGTTGCCAGTCGTCTCCCGTCCCATCCACTGGCCGCTCGACTCCCTTATCGAATGACGCCATTGTTAACAAGCGCCGTACAAGGCCCTGCGGACGTGGTAAACTCGTGCTCGAGCCACTTGGCCACGCCCTTGTCGTCCGTCTTCATCGCATCTCCCAGCACCGCCAGCACCTTCTTCTTCTCCACTTGTGCTGGAGACAAAGGCTCCCCAACAAGTCCTGGAAACGTAATGCGTTCGCCCACTTTGGCGTCTAAAGGAGGCGTCACAAAGGCCACGTGCTCTTTCCCGTCAGCTACTGGCACAGCTGCACACAAGACCATGCCGTGACTCCGGAACCCCACGAGATTGCGCGCTTTCAGATTGCACAGCACCAGCACACGACGGTCTTGCATCTCCTCGAGCGTGTAATGGGCCACGAGGCCGCTTGCGATCTGACGAGGCGCGTCTTCCCCGACGTCGATCTCTTCGCAATAGAGTTTATCCGCGGTCTCGTGTTTCCAGACATTTATGATGTGGCCCACACGAATATCCAGCTTGGTGATTTCCGGCTGGTTCGAGTTGATCGCGGATACTTTAGGGGTCTTGGGGGTCTTGACACGCTTCGACTGTTCCTTCTGCCCCGTCTGCTGCTGCTGCTGCTTGTTGCCTTCAGTAACGGGAGCGTTGGCTTCGATACCTAGATCTGCCTCGACGGAGCTGATGAGGTTCTCGATCTGCTCGGCAGCGCTCATGGTTCGTGGTTGGAGTCGGATTGTTTGTGAATAAAGGGATATTTGGAGAATGAGTTCCAGTTGAGCGGGATGGACGCGATAATTCCTATTATAAAGTGCTGTTGAATAAAATAGAAAGAGCAGCGCCTATTCGTGTTACAATGTACTTATACGAATGCTGCGATTACGCTTGCACACTTATGTTGCATGTCTTACTGGATAAGCACCATCCAGCTGATAACGAGGTAGAAAAGCAAGACTGGGTACACCGTAAGCGCTTTTCGCTTCGGCGGCACCAACTTCGACATGAACACGACCGACGCTGCAAAGTCAAAGACGCGTAGTGTAATCAATCCCATAGTCAATCACATACCAACATACGATCAAGTCAGTACATCATACACGGTGCACGGCATCAAAGCACGTCGCACCTCGTGTAGACCAGAGAAACCCCACGCCAACGACGAATACACGCAGCAGAATGTGCGAGATCGCGACTCTTGTCAGCATACACACGAGCGTCGCGATATTCAGCGGGAACACGCAGTACCCTAGCACACACACGCTCTGGAAGAACGATCTGAGCAGCCCCATCACAAAAGTCGAAATCCAAGATGTCCGTCAATGCCACATTACACACCGCAAAGTGTCCACGTCAACGTACATGGAGCTGCCCAGCAATTGCGCGTTAACAGTGACGATTGCAGCTCCCATCCAGATCACCACAAAGACACCTGTAAACACCATAGCTGATTGGGCTGCAGGAGCTGTCACGCTCAGCATTCTCACACACACACACGCACAAGAGACAAATAGCAAAGCTTAGGACCTAGCAAGATCGCTGCATCTCTCCAAGCTCCACAACACACATGGAGAGCGTCAGACACAGTAGCAACGGTCCCCATAGATCCCCTGGACAGCCACAAGCAAGGCACGTTTAGAGAGTCGTCAAGTAGTCGATTTTTCACTCCAATTTTCTCGTCCATCGTACAGTCCCGCAGTGCCTTGAGCGTCTCTTCTGACGTATTGCTAGGCATAAGCACGACGCGTAGCTTGCCCCCGACGAGCCGCAGGTCGCGGAGCTACAAGAAAAGGATGACGTGGTCAGTTTCGAGGCATCGAGGGAAGGTCTAGGGGTGCAGACGGAGATTACGTAAACACCGCAGACATACGATAGTAGCCGAGACGGGTTCATCGAGCGTGTTCGTCGCCGTCGACGGGAGGCTGATGCTGCCTGAGACGAGCTCCACGCCCGGGACAGTCGTCTTCACCTCGTCCGCCATGACTTAAAGTGCGGGCTTGAGCTCAAGTAGTTTCTAAGCTTTAGAAATAGATGACGAAGAGTGGGCGGATTGAGAAGCGGATGTCACTCAAAGGGCGTCGACGAGGATATTATCCAGAGGAATGTCATTTGATGGGTGGGTTTTTTTGGTGTGGTAGATAATGTGCTTGCTGTGTGCAGTGTGGTGAAGCTGGGATACTTTTATTCGATGAAGGGTTCTGGATAAAAGCGAGGTCGCAACTATGCCAGCTGCAAAGTGTAACTTACGATGCTTAAACATGCGGGGGTACACGAAGACAGGATACTGAAGTAAACAGCTACCTTTATGAACGTTAGGGTGTCAAAAGCAGCTCATGATTTGCGCAAATCTGGTATCACTCACGGCTTATGTAATGAAGCTCGGATCGAGTACACGAGCAGCTGAGCATCTTTTGTGTCGACGCTTCATCAGCTTAACCCCTTACTTGTTATATTGACGCAAGAAACACGCAGGTGTTCAGACCAGGCAGAACAACTGCGTCTTCTAGCGAGCTTTCTAGCTGTACTGCTGCCGACCGCAGCCACAATAGATGGTGACCCGGTGCTGCGACCACGTTACTATCACGACCTTTAGTCGCTCCGTATAGCATTTTGTAGAGCTGCTCGGTGTAGCCGTCGCAGTTGAGACCAAACACTTTATAACGCTGTCCAACTTCACCTGATAGCATGTCCACACACACACTGATATCATCAATCCATCTAGCCTCTTCCTCTTGGCCCAGCAGCAATGTTGCAGCACCCGAAGGTACCCCGCAGTGGCAATACAGCTCGAGACCCTTTACAGTCCGCTAGATTGCGTGTATGTCAGCCAGCACCACCGACTTTGATTTGCAGGAGAATTCCAAGCGAAAACACCACCGCAGCTGAATGAATGACACGAGCCACATCAGGCTCTCTACAACTCTCGCGATGCTCAGTACAGTGTGATACCATACTGATACGACATCAGCCAGTACGAGTCGCAGGTGAGCCACCACAGCACCTCGATGGCATACCGGTACATTGAAGTTGTTCGTCAATCCTGCAGAATAGTCGTTCACGCTGGAGAAATATAGTCGTTCACCCTTCGCACAAAATGACTGGCCACGAAACGTCGTGCTGTTTATAGCGTATCGGATCGTCTGATGATCAATTGACGCTTATTTTTGTTACTTTCATGTCCGTATCGACAGATCTGTTCGCTCAGGAGAGACACTGAGGCTAGTGTCAGCGTCTGGTCACGCGACCGGCTCGTCGCACTTTGCGGAAGTTCAATCAACAAATCGAGGAGTCACTAAAGGCAGAGGCTCCGCCCGTCCCTCTTCTACCCACGTACACTTACCCGAACTTACCCCGCATGATCCTCCCCATCGTCATGATCACGACCCGCAATAATGAACCAATGAGCAGAGGCAGCGAGGAGCTAATCGCCGCCCCTAACCCACCTCGCCTTCGCTCAAGTCACCACACACTTAAGTACGCACTGCACACAGCTTCCACGCCCCGTCTCGGTCCCCCCCCACCATACAAACCCCAGACGAGTCACACCTTCCCCCTGTCCCATCCCCACTCCGTAAGTACGAGACGCTGTCCGCCTCGTGACAAAAACAGGACCTCGCCAGCCCCATCTGCGTGCGTCAACCACAGCTGCTTTCCTTATCATTCCGCATTTGCCTTCGAGCCACTCAAAGCTCGCGCCACAGAGTCGAGACCGCCACTAGACACGCAGCGTGACACACTAGAGCCACTTCAGCCGTCGCCCCTTTCTCAAGCTCCGACTCCGTCCAGCTAGCTGCTACCCCCAGAACGTCATTGTGGTCGCACTTGTCCTTCGCTCGCTCCTTGACCAATCAAGCGCGACACTCGGCCACTCACTTGATGTCGCTCGAGTTTCGTCCCCGCATTGTCTTGCCGTCGATTCGGCCACTAAGTGTCGCCAGGCCCATGACCCCTTTTGCCAGGAACGTGCCGTCGCTCGCCTTCGAGAGCGAGGAACAGCGCGAGCAGAACGAAGCGATCATGGCCAGGTACTTTGGCGTCCCGCTGCCTCATGGCCTACGACGCAAGACGCTGGAACTGGACCCAGAGAGTCTACGCACGCCCACGAGCGTGCCGTCCTACACCATTGACGGGTGTTTCTTCCCCCCGTCCACGTCGCCCGTGAAGAAAGATGGCAGGAGTTGCAGGAGCAAGACGGCCATGACGTTATTGCTGGACTCGCCGACGCACACGGACGGGTCCAATGAGACGGAGTTTTCTGGAGAAGACGCTAAGCTACGCGTGAGTCGCGAACGCAATCGCTTGCACGCCCAACGCACGCGGATCCGCAAGCGCGAGCTGCTCGAGCGTCTCAATGAGCAAGTGGACGCGCTGCAGGACGAGTTTGAGCTGTTGAATCACGTCTACGACTTTCACGCGACGGCTTTGTGTCTCTTGAGACTTGGTACGAGTCACCACAACGTCCCGGGTGAGCAAGCGCTCGAGCGGATGATGGATGGCGTCAGTGCGACCGAGGACTGCAATGACGACGGACAGATGGACGAGCGCTCTTTTCTAAAGACCAGGTGGCTCTCGCACGCGAGCGAACGAGACGACGGAATGCACGGGCATGAGAAGGGATGTGGTCTTGACGAAGGTGATGAAGGCTGCACGTGTCTGTATGGCGTGCAGTTTCGCTCGAGCGGGAGGAGACTGCACTTGGGTACAGGCACGAGTACGGGTGTTGCTGCTACTACTGCTAGCAACATACTTGACTGCTCGAAGGAGGAGCGTGAACGCATGCGACGCGAACGGAACCGCTTGCACGCGCGGAGAGCTCGACTTCGGAAGAAACAGGTGCTGGAGGAGAGTCAACAGGTATGAGTGAGTGTTTCGGTCACTGGTTGAGGAGGCATACTGATGTTCACTTTGGCCGCTTTGTGTGTTTCTCTTTCTTGATGGATCTCCTGTAGGCTGTTTACAAGCTGCAAGAACGTAACGACCGTCTTCGTAGTCGTCTAAGCGTGCTGGTGTCGTCGATCTATGGCTCAGAGGTATGTCTCGACGACCCTGGCGCCACGTCCTGATTACTACCAGGCTCTGATCGTCATTCGTTTTTATCCTCAAGCGTCCGGTGTTGAAAGACGGGGTTGACGTTGTCTTCTCTGCCAGACTGGAGCGTAGTCTTTGAGCATCGGTGCTGGTCGCTGCATTTATCACGCATGTATTTCTATCTATGAGCTGGCTTATTGACCGGCTGGGGCTGCTTCAATGTAAATACAGCAGCATAGCATTATGTTTTGCCACTCTATTGCATGATATAGCTGCTGGGGATGTTTCTGAGCAGTAGGCGGCATTGGAGGTGAGGATTGAACAGATCATCGGCGTTGAAAGCGATAAATGGACCAAGCATTCGCAGTCCAAGCGAGCTAATTTGCAGATACTGGCGTGTATGTCGCTTGCGCTCCAAGCAGAGCGCACCATGTCAATCACGGTACGCGTTGTATTATATCGGCGTGTGATCAGTCAACTGACATGCCTAGAGGTGGCGTAACATGTGATGGGAATGATCGCAGCATCTGCATTCACCCGGGCACACGTTTTGTATTCTAGGTCGAGTACAGTCCACCGAAGTCTTGATGGTGTCAAAAGACCCAAGCTCCAATGAGCTACGTGACGGTTCTGGAAGAGTCTTCACCTTGCATGCTGGAGGTATGTGCAGGCCGCGCACGTATGCTTCCTCTGCGGCTATGCAGAGTGGTGTACGACAGCCCTGGTGTGACCTTCCGCGAGCGACGGAAAACCCTCCGGTCGATTTTCATGACGACGCCAAGTGACGATGTAACGCTGCGTATCTCACGACTCCCGAGATCTGCGCAAGCTTACATGACCTACGCTTCCGTATATGCCAAGCGCACAGAGCAATGCTTGTTGTGCTGGCGTCGTGAAGCAGCTGAAAGTGCCGTTTCACTTCATCTTCGCAATGTGACGGTCAAGCGGACAAGTTGCGGAGCATGATGATGAGATCTGCATGCCTTGTTGTATAATGGTTTGCGACACTTAGTGGGCGATCTTGTCACTGTTTTTTTGGTAGGTCTCATACTTCCATGTCGGCTACGCTTAGCTTGTTGGTTCAATTACGTTGTCGCCGAAGGAAAAAGCACACATGAGACCAAAAGCCGATTATGAGCTGATAGGTGGGGAGCCATGGACGCAGTCACGTTCAGGCTCTTTGCTAGCGTCGCCCCATGGTGTACAAGGAGTGACCAGGTCTCACGTGACGCGAAAAACGCATCGCACGTATCGGTGCTCAACGTTTTTTCGTCTTCTGCAATAAAAGTTGCAGCGGCTCCTTGGTAGCAGGCTCTTGTAACAAGAGTGGAAATCGACTCTGCGACGACGCACTGGTATTGAAAGGACGATACCGATTCAAGAGCTTTTTATCGCTGATCCACTTTGCATTTACTGCATCCGGTCCCAATCATGTGGAATCAATGGAATTGCCTCGACGTCAAGGTTTATGCGGATTCGGGAGTCACCATTTCGTTCAGCTACACTCAAGTGTTTGCTGAGATAAGCAGTCTCAAGGATGATGATACTGTTGTCGATGTTCGTCGGCGACAGGTATCACTGCTCAATGTTGTCAGCACTCAGTACGTGCTGCATTGCGATCTTTTTGCTCACTGCAACTGCGCCTCCTGATTGTTGACTTCGACATATACGGTATGAAACGTGGACCGTGTACCGACCGGGAGCACCTTCATGTAGCGCTACCCTGCGATGTTGGACCTCCAGCGAGGTCAAACGTATCGATTTCGATTCTTGATCGATTCAATTGATTATGAGGTTCGCACACCTTCGCTTGACGACGGCTGCAGTCGACGAAAGCTCTTCACCCCGGAAAGATGTCAAAGCAAACGCTACTGCCACCTGTTGCAGACATGCTTGCAGCATTTCACTTCGCCGGTACAAAGTCACTCCTCAGTGACGATGCTTTCGTCAGCTCCATACTCCAGTAACCTCTTGACCAAGCGAATGGTGCTCACATACTGAACGGACAATGTCAATCCTGACACGATCGCTCGTCCAGGTGTGACAATGAAGAATGAAGCAATGCAGAACTTGAGTACTTGCGATGTCAACATCGTTCGAAGCGAGAAGCTCCGGCGCTATACCACAATTCACCATCTAAGACCCGTCTACAAACTGACTTCGTGTTCAGCTTCATTGAGGAGCGCATTCCATCACAGACCCATTTACGCGACTGAGCAGATCACATGAACGGTCGAACCCGCCAAAGGTTTCTCGTCCGAGTTTGCCCATTTCGTGGCCTCCACAAGCTGCATGACTCGAGATTTTTCGCATTTGGTGACACCATCGTAAACCCGATTCATTATCGGCCCGACACCGTGCCTCATTCGTGGCGTTTGACGTTCTCACATGTACTGATAGCTGCTCTTGTCCTTTTCCAACTGGTCCAGTTTGTTGCCGAGAAATATTCCGTCGCTCACCGATCCGCTGCCGACGTTGCTGCCAGCACCGACCGCATTCGCTCCACCTAAAAGGTTTGCCCCCGAGTTGCTCCCTGAGAGTGAAAAAGGCGGTGGGTATCCGCTACTAGAGCCGCTCGGTCTCAATTGAGCGGAAGAGAAGGAGCGATACGTGGAGCCCGTCCCGATAGTCGCAGACATGGAGAAATTGTGCTGCGAGCTTTGGAATTCTGGTGGTACTTGCTGTTGTTGCTTGTCCAGAAACAACTTCTTGCCAGCGCGCAACGGTGCTTTCATATCCTGCAGATTCTGCTGATGATATTGTTGCTGCTGTTGAGCCTTTTTCTCCTTCGCTGCTGCACGTTGGGCCGCCAACGCCGCGATGCTTGATCGCTGATGCTCAATGATCGTCGTTTGGTTGTCGTCGCCCACGATTGGCAAGTCCAGGTGTTGGCACTGGCAATTGCAGTCTGTGACAGGACACACCGTATGTGTTCTGAACCAGTCCGCAAGGTGATGGGCATGGCCACCGTGCTTGCACGATTGACACCATGTGAACCACTCCACAAATGGAATGCTCGAGAGCTGGCCCAGGTTCTCGTACTCGTTCTTGCTTGTCTTGGGCTCCTTGAGCACACCTCCGTAATCAGCTGCTACGCTAGTCACCAACGTATTCACTGCATCGGATGTTTGTCTTGAGCGGCGATGAGCCATCTCGAAGTATGGGTTTAGTGATCCGAACGGGAGCAAGCACAGCGCGCACTGTGGTAATGGTTTCCGACATGTTGGACAGCACGTCAGCTTCGGTTTGGCGCGATTTAACCATGACGAGTGTGAGCCTCCGAGTCGGAGCAAGCACGCTAAAGATAGCGACGCATTGCAGAAATTGCACCGCACAAATAACTGCGGTGGAACGGAAAGCGTCGATGGTTCCTGAACTCCTTCCGTATGACGATCGTCTGCATCACACTCACGCGAGACACTAGCAAAGCCGTTGAGAAGGTCTTCGAGCTGCGAGCGACCCACGTCGAATCGAGCGCGCTCGTGGAAGAGCTGCCACTGGTTAAGCAAGTCTTTGTATATCTGGATCCACTTCTCCATTGGAGATGATTCTGCCTTGTACGACGAGGGCACCCGAGCGGCCAGTAATGCAAGCGTCTGAATGTCGCCCGTCATGTCCAAGTACGTTTGGAGAAGCCTGATGCCGTTGCCATTAATTCCGGTCACCAACAATCCTTCCAGACGACCATACTGCTCGCTTTCTTTTTCGTGCTGATTGACAAACGCGAGCAAGTCGTCGGCTTGGAGATATCGGCAAGCGAATGCAAGCCGGTCACTCAGTGGTAGCGTGACATCGTGTAGAATTGTTGAGTAAGCACCGGCACTTGCAGGCCTAGCAACAAAAGCCGCTAGCCCATCGACACTCCCCCATTGTCTCCGAGTAAGCGGGCGCCGCGAAGGTTGCTGATTTGCCCGCATGGCGTTCGAATTCATCGTGCTGGACGAACATGACGAGCTCGTGACACACAGGAAAGAAAGCATTGCGTGGAAATACCGAGGGTTTGCCTGCGACATGATCTCACTTCGTTTTAGTAGTTGCTGTGTCATGGATAACCACAGAGACAACCCACCCGAATTCGTAACGGACGACGAATATCCTGCAACAGACATCGCGATAAGTTGCAATAAATCGGGCGTATAGGGCGACGAGACTCCGACGTTCAGATGCTGCATTTGAGTCATCCATGTGGCTCCTCGTTGCAGAAGCGCCACTGCTGCATTGAGATCCCCATGAAAAACTGCTAGTGCTGCTGCTTGAGCGTAATTGCCTTCCAGCTCGCATCGGTTCAAAATGTTTTGCAGCTCGTATCGACCATTCTCGTTCCATGAACGATTGCTGGAATTGGCTGTTTCGTCGTACTGCTGTTTCTGCGAATACCATATATTCGAGCTGCTCCGATGTATATTTCTCCCTGTGGCGCTGTCAGGTTCTGGTCCACCCACACCCGCTGACACGCGGGACCCTCCCTGACCGTTCTCAGGATCCCAGTTGCATGCTAGCATACTCAGTCGTCGCCCGGGCCCTTCAAAGTACTGACAGCCAAGCACCTGGTCCACCTTCGTGACAGATGCAACAGCGACAGTCAGTTCTTCCTCTCGGGAATCTTCTTGAACAGTGGCAGTATGTCCAGCAGGAGCGGACTTTGCAATAGCCGAAGCTTCGCCATAGGCTGTCAGCAAATTCTTCACACCAGCAATTACAAGGGCATTCGAGTCAACTGGCCACCCGCGCAACGGGCCGGCCACTGCAGTATTGGCTGCGTTGTTTCCAAGGCCATTGTTTGCAGAGCGCGACTGCTCTACACGTGAAGCTTGGAATCTGCGTAACGCCTCAACTTGGTCGACCCACGACCACAAATGATGCAGCTGCCGGCCTCGTGGGGAAGTCTTATTAAACAGCTTCAGATTCTTGGAAAGTCCAACGGAGTAGCCTTGTTTAGCAAGCTTGTACATTTCATTTGAAATATCCTCTTCAACACAGGGACCCGAGCTGATTTCCTCCTCCAATGTCAATCGCGCTACAGCCGAAGTCCCCAGCCCAGGTCCACTAACAGAACCGCCAAAGAGAAGTCTACCACATCCGAAGGTCACCGCCCCATGAGACGACAGCGACAGCGGCATGGCATCGTGTACCGAAATGTCACCGAGTTCGCCGGTTATTGATGCAGTCAACAATCGATTCGGAAACGCTGCCGCCGTCAGCTGGTCTCTCGTTGCAATGCTAGTCCTGCCAACGTCTGCCACGCATTGCATTTGCGGCGATGAATCTATGTGTTGCCATGAGAAAGATGCCAGCGGTTCCGAGGTGTAGCGTCTACGAAACGGTTTCTTGAGCATCGACGGGCGGCTCTCCTGTTTTGTCACATCCCACAACGACACCCATTTTTCTTCCGTCGACGCCGTTACAAGCACGCCCGGCTCAGACGGGCACCACGACACCTGTGCGAGATTCTTACTTGTCTGATACAGCGAAAGCAGTGGCCCAGACGACGATTCTAGTTGACGGATATCCCACACTTTCACCGGCTCCTGTGGTGCGTCACTGTACGTTGCAAGCATGTGTGGCCGATGCTGATCAAACACAACACCGAGCACAGCCTTGTTGTGGGCAACGACACTCATTGGAGACGATCCTTTCGTCCGCAAATCATACACGCGCAGCCACTTGAAACCTGTTCCAGTGGCCAAACACGTCGGCTGCAGTGGTACCCAGGACAGCGCCATCGTCGCCTCAGAATTGGCCAATTCATGCACAGGTTTCGAGTCTACTGTTGCAAATCCAGCCGATCCGGCAGCAACACCCACACTAGCACTTGCTCCTCCATTGCTGCTTCCTTTCCTGCTACTCATCGGTCTTTCCAAGGTTCCGTCTTGATCCACAAGGCCATCCATGTTCCCACTGCTGCAGCTGCTAGTGCTCGTCATAGCTCCTGCTGAAGCCGCAGTAGCGGCGGCTCCTGTGGCGCTACTCCCTGCATTTGACGTATTGAGGTCCCACACTAATGTGCAAAAGTCACTACGGACTTTCTCAAAGCCTGCAGCCAATTGGTTGGACACGGACGGATTCCAAGCCACCGCGTGGCACGGACGACTGTACTTGGGTACAAACTCGCGCATGACTCGCGCCCGTGGGTCGTCAAAGTCACACAACAGCACTTTACCGGATCCTGTACCTGTGGCGATCAAAAGGGGTTTGGAATCAAATGGGTACCATTGTAAACACTTGAGCTGCGACACTTTGGCGTGGATCCGCACGACGCGGAAGGTGCGTTTGCGCTGCGTCGTGGCGGCTGCGGCTGTTGCAGGATCGAGTGTGGTATCGGCGTATCCACTGAGAGATGGCGATGCAGTTGTAGCTTCAAATAGACGCAGATTGTCGGCGCCGACAGCAAAGAGCGAGGCATCGTGGGGTGACCACTCTACGATCGTGCGCTTGCTCATGAGGACTTGGCAGATTGACAAATGGAGTGAACGAGTGGGCGTGGATTGGCTGAAAAGAGGATAAAAGCGACCACAGTGTTTCGACGAATGGCAAAGCACGGGTGGTACTCGCTCACTAGGACTGATGGATACGTTTTGCGTGACGGCTGGAGCCACATGAGTTGCACATAAAATAGCGACAATTGACACGGCGCTATGCAACAGCCTTCTCGACATGCTGTGTCCACGGTCGATGTAGCCATGAGTTGTGGTCTGTCACACGCACATCATTTGTTGCCGCTTTTTTGCGATCTCACGTTCTGTCCGAGTGTCGTAGATCATGCTCCTGCGTATGTCCGTTTGTCTGACTCCCGACACGAGAAAACGACCACAAATTGAGCATCGAGGTTGCGCATGGATGTCGTCGCCGTTTAGACGTGCATTGGCATCAATTATTGCACCAGTACTTTTCGAGCTGCAAAAAGGCAGTGTGAGGTTTGCACATGATACTAATCGGGCGTGTAAAATGCTGCGACATGCATCGTTACGCTCTGGAGAAGAACGCTTGAATAATCGGTAGTAGTAGCAGTAGTAGTAGCCGTCAAACAGACTGTCGTAGCGATCATAGTTCAATGAAGTGACGCACGTCGAGCAGCCAAAGTCAAAAGATCCGCTCATAGTTTAATCAAGTTTCCGTATTCCAATGATCAGCCAGATCATCGATGACCAAAAAAACAAAGCATCCCCACTTGTCTCGTCTTTTTGTGTCCCTTTTTCTGGCATTGCACCCTTTTAGGCGTCAGGGTTACGTGGCTCGCACCAGGCCAAACGAGACATGGCTACACCCGCACCAGCTGATTCTTCAGCGCTGCATTTCGTCCAATCGCATCGTTTCCACGTCGACCCCGCTCTCTCATCGTGCCAGATCCGCCCTTTCAGCCACGAGCGAGAGAGAGAGAGCGAGCCAACTCCTGTCCGTGCTGTCCCGAGCCACGTTCTAATGGACGACGTCTTTCTCAAGCACAAGCAGCAGACGGACGACGACGACAAGGATCTCGAGAACCTCATTTTCAACAGCGACACCAAGGAACTGGAACCGCAGAAGCCGCTACAAGAAGAGGACAAGGACGAGCTGAACGGACCCGTACAGAAGGAGCAGGCAGTACCGATGCAAATGCAGGACAGCGACTCGGACGAGAACGATGCGGCCACGCAGTCGACGGCTAAAGGGGCCGATCGCTCGTCGCTGAACAACGTGCTGCCTGTGGACAAGCTCAAGAATGGCGCGACTACGGCCTCCAAGTACGTTGGCGAGACGCTTTGGTCGCTCGCTGTGTTTCTATATTGTAATAACGAGAGGTGTGTGTTTTTGTGTCGTTGGGGGCTGTAGGGTGTTTGGTCAGACGTTTTCGATGTTTAAAGAAAAGTCCGGGGCAGCGCTCGAAGCGGCGAAAGCGTCTAATGCTGGCAAGACGATTGCTGGCGGATTGAGCAATGCTGCTACGGCTAGTCAAGAGAAGTACGGGAAGTTGAAAGGGACGGATGCTTTCAAGAAGTCCACGACGATGGCGAGCGACGCCTACGAGCGGACGTCTCTAGTTGCATCGGGTGCTTTGGAAAAGGTTGGGAGAGATTCATGTGTTGTATAGATGTGGGTTGTAGTAGCAGCTCAGGCTCTTTTAGTTGTGGTGGGAACGAGGCTGATGTGTGTCATTGCTTGTTCTTTCTGTATTTTGTCGACTCGTAGGCACGTGCTGCGTCGTCGTCTGGGTTGGAGATGGCAAAGCACACTGCTGCTGCTAGTATTGAGACGATCAAGTCGAAGACAGGCAGCAAAAAGGGCGGTGAGAATTAGGGCGGCATTCGGTTGGGTTGTGTCCAGTGTATCCCGACCGTGAGTTTGTCGGCACTTGGTCGATCGATGATGCTGGAGCTGTTTTGTTCCGAATTCGCTTTGGTCATCGTTGACTTTTTCCTGATCTCGACCGAAGGACGGTGTGGATCCGCCTTACCCTGGACACACCTCCGCCATAGCATTGTTGCGTTCACGACTGTACTTCAGGAGACATCAATACAGATCGTCCAGTAGACAGAACTCTGCACCAGTGTTTCGTGACTTATTTACTGATTGTAACGCCATAGCCTTCAGGAAGACTCCATCGATATTACGTCCATCACTATACACACAGTTGCTGTCAGGTTGACAAGATTGTCGAAGTTTCAGCACGAAGTCAGCCAACGTGAACACTCCTCTGCAAGCCACGGGCGTGTCGAGCTGGATTGAAGAGGCGACAAGTACTTACAGAACAGTGCTCACAGCGCAAGAAGGAAGATGTACACACTCGTCGCAAAGTTGTTCGTCATCTACTGATCGCCACCAAGCACTGCCGTTACGCCAGCGAAAACACGCATTCGCAGTCTGTACTTTTCGCATACTTGCATGCATGCAATTTGCCAAGGCACACGATACAAAGCACATGAGGACCACTTTTGAGGCGTACAAACACGTGTTGTTGATCAATATCCGGCAACACTACAAGTGCCACGCCGCACATACAAGCGAGACAAGCAGCGTTTTCCCGATCACTTTACAAGACCATCAAAGAGCGGCCAACGTACTATTTCTGTCGTTCGAGTGAACTAATAAGCGAGAAATACTCTGCAAAGCTGTCACCGACGTGGATCACATTCGGAACCGAAGGCACGACTGTCTCCTCGGATGCAGTCGAAACGTGCACAATACGCGGCACGTGTTTCTCCAAGTCTCGAACGACCGCAGCATCAACTACAGCAACAACAAGAACAACATCAACATGTAGCAGCCGAAAAAACCACCCGTCAGTACCTCAACTTTGTCACCACCAACAATAGCGCGTTCATCATCGCACCGTCCACATGGACTTGAGGTTCTATCTGTCGCACAAATGCAATTTTGCCAGTACTTGTGGTGCAAAAGAGGATCTTGTGCGCTTGAACGCCACCTCCACCCGTGTCCGTGCTCTGTAAGGCCCCATGTGTCGTCAAAAACTCACGAACACGCAGCATATGCTGCGTATCCTTCTCCTCCTCGACTTTGCATAGCACGTACACGTCGGACACGTGCGAAAGGTCCGCCAGCAGCGCTGGCACGTCATCGCTCGTCCAGCTCAGAGCTTTCGACTTGTCCGTCTGGAAAAGCGCTTCAGTACTGATCGTGACTGTGCGCGTTCCGTTGCGCATGGGCAGCTGCAAGTGAAGACGCCGCTGTCGGTCTGTAAACTCCTTACTGGACAACAGCGCGCGCTCTGGCGCCGACGCTTGCGCTGCAGCCGTTGACGACGTTCGACTAGAGAGCGTCACGTTGGTATTAGGGCCGCGACGCTGTGGCGGCGGCTGGACGCCCCCTTGACGCAGCTGCTGCAGGTACACGTAGCCTGTACTGAGAGAGAGTACGAGCAGGATGACGAGGATACCTAGCAGACTCTCGTCGATCATACTGTCCACGACTTCGGGGCTCTTGGCGCTCATGCTCCGGCGATCTCGCGCTGCGTCTTTTTTTTTCACTATGACACAAAGTGGGTTTGGATGTGCGGTTTGCTTCACTTTAGTGACACGGCTCCATGTGACATGACGTGTCGTACATATATTGTGTGCGGTACATATATTGATCACCCACGTGACACACCACAGTCACACATCATCGACCACACTATGATGGAGGTGGCGGATGGCTCTTTCCAGCAGCTCTACGGCGAGATTGTGCGCTCCATGGTGCGTGACGCAACACGTCTATGCACTGAACAAGGCACTGACATGCTTACGAATTCTATTTTCTTGACGGTTTGCTGTGATTTTGCAGCTCGAGCGCTATCCGTGGCAGGTTAACAGCTCGGAGACAGGAGCTACTGGAGGAATCTCTACAGCAGAAGAGGCAGCTGCCCATCGTGAAGCAGTTATTATCAAACTGGAGGCTATGGGGTACGACGTCGGGTGTCGTTTTGCTGAGCGAACGGCGAGAGACCGGCCGCGTATGTTCGAGCCACTGGACGTGATCAAGTTTGTGTGCAAGGACTTCTGGATTGCGATATTCACCAAGCAGATCGACAAGCTGCAGACGAATCATCGAGGCATTTTCGTCGTCCAGGACTTTAGTTTTCGCTGGTTGGCGAGTGTCTCGGCTGCTACGGAGCAGGAGACGAGAGAGATGGCGCTGCTCTTCCTTGTCTTTCCTTGTGGCTTGATCCGTGGCGCTCTTGCCAACCTCGGACTAACTGCTATCGTCAATGCAGATGTCCCGGACGTCCGCGCACTTCCTGGATGTACGTGCCGCGTGTTTGTGGTCAGATGTGATATGTAGAGTGAAAAGAGCACCGTATTGACGGGTGTCTGATGTCTATGGTGATAAATGTTGCTGTTGCTGGGTGTGGTGACTGATCTATGCTAGGTCTATTTAACATTAAGATTAAGCAAGGGTGAACCGAGCTGAAACAGCCTTGACGTTCGAAAGCAGCTCTCCCTTCTAGTCATGCGGGCCCACGTCGGGCCTCACCTGTAGGTCAACTCAACTACTGTGATCAGCTTTTTCTCCGCTGCTATTGAGCAACGTCTGATTGCTAAACGACTCGATAAATTCGTCCAGTTCGTCCGAGTGACCACCACGTGCACGGCCCCTCGGTAATTGATCGGGACGGTAGAAGTCAACGATGAGTACGAGTCGCGTCTCAGTAGGATGGTGGTTGAACGCGTAGTGCAACTTGCTGTCGTCAAACACGATGAACTCACGTTCAGTATGGTACGAAGTCTCGTCCCCTACCACCATGGCGCAGCACGGCTCACCATTCGACAGCGTGGGTACTATAAGCGGGAAGTGGACGCGCAAGACGTGGTTCGCCAGGTCTGCCCAACCTCGATGCGCATTCAGCGTCGTGTTGGGACCGAGCTTTGAAAAGAGTGCTGTGCGAATACCCGACAGACTTTTCAGGATTGCTGTCGTGCGTGGACACATCGAGCACGTAGCGGGTACCCATGCTGTCTTGGAGACGTCATAAGCCGGAAAGGTATAGCAAAACGGGAACACACGCCACTCGCTGTCGCCGTTCGTGTAATGTTTCTCCGGCCAGAAGGGCCACGTTGCCATTTGCTGCACGGCCTGCATCTCCTCCACAATGACGCTGTAGTTGTCGTTCAACATGTCCAACTGAGGAAAGAGCTCCTGGTACGGGTAGTAATTCGGCAGATCATCGTCTTGAATCTCTTCGTCGGAAGTGTGCCCAGCGCTGTCACCATCACTGTCTCCATCCCATTCAGTCACGTGACAACCATCTTCCTCATCTGTACTGCGCTCCTCTGTCCTGCGCAGACACAACAATCGGAATCCCATTTGATCCCGACGCAGCAGCTCGTACAATGGCGAGTCCTCAACAAAGAAGAAAGTCTCTAGCTCCGCGTGGAACTCCCGGGATGTAAACTGATGGATTAACCCCCGCGTGCTGTCCGAGCCGAGTTTGGCGCCCATCGCTGCTTCGTACGACACCAACTGTTCTTGCACGATCTCAAAGCACGAAGTCTTGTGCTGAGGCGACACAATGGGCGACAGCAGCGAGCGCTCCACGTGATCTGCTGCGGCATCAAGCGGAATGAAATCCGCAACAAAGAGCAGCCCCCCTGGTCGCAGCACGCGCGCAAGTTCACGCACTGCTCTGTCGAGATTCTGCACTTCTTGTAGACTCTGTACACAGACAGCAATGTCCACTGAATCTGTAAGCACGCCTGTCATCCTCTCGCACGACTGATGGTACAGCTGCAGTTCCTTCTCCTGGAACTCCTTCATCTGCTCTTTACAGCAGCTCCACACCTCTTTGCTCCGTTCCAGTGCCTCGATCGAAACGTCGACGCCCACGACTTCAGCCTTGGGGTACAGTATCTGGAGCTCACACAAACCGCCACCCGCACCGCACCCAACGTCCAGAATCGTAAGAGCCTCGTCCCGTCGTGTCCCATGGTTTGCGTCAACATCCAACAAATGGTCGTAGAGCTGGAGCTGGTACCGGTCAGCACCATGATGGACCTGGAACTTATTGATACTCGCGTCTTCATTTATCTTCTCGTCCCGCGGGTGGAAGCCCACGTTACAGCACACGCGATGGCGCTCCGAGTAGATGAGCGAGTGGAAGATGCCGTTGTAGAAGGCGCTCACGCTGCTCCCTCGTGTCTTGGTCGGCGTCATCCTCGACAGCCACAGATCGTCCAATGGCCGGTCGTGTCACGAAGGACAAGTAGAAAAGTGGGACGTGATTACTCATACGAGGGACGAATAGACAACCTTTCGGAAGAGCTATTTAGTCGGACGCGAACGAAATTCAGACGATCGTTTGGGCTCTTTTCTCTGCCGATCCGCCCACGCGTTTAAATTTAGGAACTTTTATTTCCACCACACTTTTTATTTAATTCCACCACACCACAACTTTTGCTTAATAGGCAACTTGTCCCTTGTTGCTTTTCGGTAGCCGACTGTGAGTTTGTAGTCCAGAAGTCAAGCCATTTCCACATCGTATTCAATCATACTAAAGAAAACGACATCCATCGCTTCGGCGTCCGATACAAAAGCTGAATGACAAGCTTAGATACAATTGTACACCCACTAGCGTCCGCAACATGAGAAACAAGCGAGAACAAGTAAAAGGATGAAGAAAAGGACAATACTATGAGCCGTAGAGGGCGTGCAACTTCTGTGAAAGATACCCTCGGTAACGTGTATGCTTTCAATAGTGAGTAAGTGTTTTCGAAACTCAAGGTGGAGACATTTCCTGACTTCGTATACGAGTGTTAGCAAGACGCGTACGGCCAGGCCCAGGGTGTATACATTGCTAAAGAGCATCATATACAGCGGGGCTTAGTATCCCACTGGATGCAAGTCTGAAAATCCATCGTATGCAGGAGATTGAATGTTTGCAACGGTGTACGTTCTTCTATCAGCTTCTTCTCAAGCGAGAGGACGATCAAAAGTTCTTGTTTTTTTGCCCACGAACTTTGGGTGAGGGAGCAAGTCCTAATGATCTAAAATCATTTAGCTGCTTTCCTAGATGTATTACAATGCACACTACACTGACGGGAAGAGCGTGCGGCACTGAAAGGCAGCAACTTGTTTGAAAATGCTCAGCAGACTGAATGGCACGTTGTGCACAACTATGAAAAATAAAATGGACTTACTCGATCTTTCTTAAACCATCACTGGCAAGTTTTGGCAAGCGGAGGTGTGCGCACCGGAGATCGTAGTTGAGGGTGGGGGTGGGAGTGATACTGTGGTAAGGTAGTGCGGTGTGGCGTGGTGCACCTGTAGTCACTCAAATGAAAGTTGTGGCGGTGTCATAGTAAAAAGTGTGGTGGAAACAGTAAAAAGTGTGGCGGAAATACCAATTTCCCTAAATTTAAGCAGTTTTCTTCATCGCGAGATTCTGTCTTGATTATGTATACAAAGCACTGAGCGTCCGTCTCACTGGGCTGAAGCTTCACATGGGTCTTCTGTACAACTCTCGTAAGCTTCAACCGAGTCCTACTGAATCGATGACACGTTATGGGTGCAATCCTCTGATCTGCTATAACTTCGACTGACTTGACTGCTGCTACAACATTAAGCTCTATAGTCCCGAGTAACAAGGATGCATACAGCATTGCAACAAGACAAAGGGATGCGGCTACAACTTGTTGCAGCTTTGCTTTGACATCGACACCGTCAAGAGCATCATCACCCACTTGAGGAAAACAAACGACTGCCCGAGCGAAAAGTAGCTATGTGACTAGAGGCCAGAGCGGGCATCAACTACGATACAGCAACAACTTAAGGACCCGATTTCACTGGAGCAACAAGAAGTGGTTGTCAGTAGGGCAGCAATGATAAAGCAGTGCCTTGCACTATCACCAGGAAGCACGTTGAGGTTATAAGAGACCATTAATGTTGCTGTTGCATGTATACATAAAGTCGCAGCCTACGCTAGAAGAACGGTGTGCAATGCGCAATCAGAGATGCACGTGCAATTCTGCTCTTCCTAGACGCCTGCAAGCAAAGCTGTTGACAAAAATGCAACGGAATGCCTGCTCTTCATTCCAAGCGTGGCAAATGGTGTAGTTCATGTCGAAAGTAGCCGGCAAGTTGCATTAATGGACAGTACCAGTTAACAGAATGGTCAGATAGACGTATACAAACTTGCTGCGATAGTGCTCCATAGCGTGTCCCATATCCACGTCTTTATTCCAGCACGACGAAGCATGAGTCATCGCAGTCTTTTGAGCCTCGAAGGTCTAGCACTGACTACTGGAGGTGCAACAGTGGACGTGATCGGCTCTGTTACGTCAGTTCTTGTGCTCGGTTCCGATGAAAGCTGTTTTGCTCTAGAACGTGTTCTTGTCGTTGGTTCTGCGCGCACGCGCTTACTGTTGGCACCAGTCGCACCAACTCGTCTTGTCTTCGCAGTCGGTGGACGAGTCCGATCGATCAGTTTAGGTAGACGCTGTGCTGGAAAAAACTGGAGCGCTACAGACCTGCCAAGTGCGGGGAGTGACGCTTAGTGTGCTCTGTGTCTCAAAGGCAAGAACTATGTGCAACCACGTACTCAACATCATCCTTCAACAACGGAGTATCCAGCTGCTCCAGTTTTCCGCCTGTCCGGTTTTTGATTGCCAACTCCACCAATCGGCCGATACTACAGAATAAAAAAGGCACGTTAGTTAGTGTTAAGTCGGTGGCGGCAAACGTGAGACTACGCATACTTGTGGTAAGCGACAAAATTGAGGAACTCGAGTGAAGCGCGTGAGGGTGTTCCCAGACCCAACCATTCACGGAACTGCTGGGACTTGTTGTTCATGAAATTGAGCTTACGACCTCTGGCAAACACATCGTAATTTGACCAGTCCATCGTCTTCGTACGCTCGTCGGCAAAGCGTATCCGTTCCTAAGCGCACGCAGCATCAAAAGAAGCTCGTTTAGCAATCAAACATGTCTCTATCTATGGCCATACGACGATGCCGTACCAGAAACGAGTTGTTGAACACGTCTTCAGCCTCGGACACAGCAAAAAGATCCAGCTCATCCGCTAACTCTTCTTCCTCCACGTCCTCCAGCTCGTTTTCCTCGTGCTTTGCTTCACCACGAAATTCTCGCCAGCGTCCATAATAGATAGCTTCTTGGTCAAACAGTTCCACCAGTGTCTACCACAAACATTCACGCCACATCAGCAGCAAGATAACTAACAGCACCCTACATAACTAGTCTCAAGCTCAGCTCACCCTTAAACACGATGCCGCTCCCAGCGCTTTCGGATTCCCCAAACTTAGCACCTTCCGCATATGATCACCAACTACATACCGAATTAGCATCAGACGTAACCAGCACAGTACATGCTACTAAACAGCTATCTTACCGATGGCCTGTACCTCTTCCACCGTAGTCAAACAAGACTGCGCACTATCACCAAAAGTACTCATCATAGAGCTGATGGTATGCAACATCAACGACGCCTTCTTCCCTCTCAACGCAGTATCATGCTTGACGCCACACACGCAAATTTCGTCAAAGAACTCGCCCTCGGCGACCTGCCACCTCGGCTTGAACTTTGGCTTGACTGGTACATAGTGAGGAACTTGTGCTGGTGCAATGTACGCGCTATTTGGATGTCTCGGCAGCGCCACTTCATCACCTGCAGTCGTCACTGGACCTACGGAGCGTAAGCTCCGCTGCTGTATCATCTTCAGATAAGGATCGGACTTGACGGTCATAGCAGGATCCAGCTTTTCGGCTTCGTGTTCTTCCTCCAGTGCTTTGTCTTCTCCTGTTGTCTCGAACTTGGACTCGTGATCCATTTGCTGCGTCCGCTGCCGCTTGTCACGGATGTAGTCCAGCATTTTCTTCTTTTGGTCCAGTGGCAGCGTCTTCCATGCGTTTGTCTGTAAAAAAAGAGCAAGTTTTGTGATATATCAAGTAGTATTTTCGGAAATTTAGAAAAAAACTCGGACGGAGGGTGCACGCGTCCTACCTCTTTGTAGGGATACTGATGCTGAATCGCGTGGAAGAGACGGTGCACTTGCTCGAGCAGAGGCAAGCGAGCGAGATCGTGGAGACCGTACTCGTTTCCAGCGCCGTCGGCGTCGTCGTCTACTGTGGCAAGAGAGTTGTGGTGGTCGTCCATGTCTGTCATGTGTGAGGAGTGTCACCGCTTTTTTTGAAATAATGTTTGTGGTAGTCAAAAAGTGTAATTTTGTATCATTTGCTTTTTATGCGAAAAGTTGTGTGTCCGTGTGTGTGTCTGTTGAACCTCTGTCTTGTGGTATTGCAATATTTCATTATGGATCAAACTACGACAGTTCGGGGAAGTAGATGCGCCTATGTGAGGAGCATGTCAGCAGGAATCGCCACTAGAGATTTATGCCGCGCGGTCCTTCAGATCACCCTGGGGTGAACTGCAAGTACTCTATCTCAGTTTGAACTCCTTACAGGACCCGCACCCCTCATGACACTATGGGGCTTTTCGGCCAGTATGGCCTCCAGCCCACCCAACTATCACACACCTTGCGCGGGTGGGCAGGGCGGCCACTTCTGCGTGGTTGCTCAGCTACAATATCGGCCTATCTCCGGTGCCCTGTAATCGAACCCCCACCGGATAAAGATCCGGGTACCTCTCGGTCCCAGTTCCAGCGGTCTACCACTCGGCCACTGGGGTCGGTGGGAATCATCACTAGAAAGTACGGTATTAGTTAATGTAACGATCTTTTTTTTCTGTTCGAGCGATGTCCAGATACTTATGCATGAAGATAGTGTTGGACATCGGCTGACGTTGAAGGTTGAGCATGTGGGCGCTGGATGAGATTTCTTTTGTTACTTTGATGCGTACCCTCTTATCTATCTTTCGACTATCAACACATCCAAGAACTTAGGGTCAGAACGATTGGTGAATGTATTGACTTTTCGTCGTGCACTGCCATTCAGCTTTTTAGTACTACCGGCGGTCTGAGGACCGTCTCTGCCTGAAGCCTTCTTGTTATAATATTAAGTACTACACAGACTTTTACTCTTCAAGTCGCCGTGTACGGAGCAGAGCGTTGACTGAGGACCCAGGATAGCCGTAGTTATCCCGTTACAGCAAGCGCATCACCAGCCGCGGCGGGTGGTGATCAAGGCGAGATGGATGGCACCTCTGTAGGTGTGCGGGTGGGGCGGCTCCACAGAAGCCGTTTTCTCCAGACCCGGGGGAGCAGTGAGCAGGGGGAGGGACCCTCGACTCCGCGCCGCGGGGATGAAGATGACGCGTACCCCAGCCACAACCCGCAGATCTTGAGCCGATTGTATATAATTGTTCTAGATACTGGGGAAGACCGCAATCTAGGGGATTATCCACATGAGGCGGACGAAGATCTTCCCAGTGCGGGTATTTGTGTGGACGGGAAGAGGTCTCCATAGTTGAGTGGCCCAAAGACGACAGGGCCAAGCGAGAAGGGGATGCCAGACTCAAGGGGCTTGAAACCCAATCGAATGGTCCGCGGCGGTGTAGGTGTGGGGCCATCTGTCTGCGCAGCGGAGCGTGACCGTGACGGGTCCAAGCGGGACCTTGATCGTTTTACATCAGCAAACGAGTGACGAGCAGATATTTGCAGTGGTGGCGGCAGAACTCCGAGCCACTCCAGAGGCGTTTTAATGGCATGCGTGGTAAACCACTGTGGCAGCTTCGTTTGCGTCTGAGCTGGTGGCGCTCAACATACCACCAGGCAGAGTACTAACGACGAAGCAGCGGTTTCCCAAGTTGATAAGGGCCAAGTTGGATCAGCTCCTGGTATTTTTTGTGGAATTTAGCGTCTTGGATGGCTGCTCTTATGCTCTAATGGTGTAAGCACGCCCGGAGAATATTTCGGGATCTGTACATACTCTTCTTGGTCGTTAGAGACCATTCTCGAGAGTGTGACCAGCAAAGTCAAGTGGGCAAGGAAACCTGTGCTGAATCAATCGGCAGCAAAAGTAACGGGCATTCGGTCGTCCGGTCAATCCGCTGATACGTTCCCACGGACTGGAAACTACCAAATGCATGTTTTCAATCCATCCAAGTATGCGGCAGAAGAAACTGAACGGCTGTGGGCAATATGTGCGTCTCCCGATCGATACAGATCGGGTGCGCGCCTCCGAACTGGCACCGAGGATGAGTGGAAGGTTATTCAGGGGTTGGCAGAGGGACATATCTTTATCCGGGGTCTGCTACATTTTCTCAAATAAAAGTCCCCTGCTGAAGGACCACTTGCGGTTCCATACAACAATTTAGCTGCAGGTGGAGGGCGAATCGTCTCTTTCTCTCGCTGGTGCTAGAACTATCACAACCAGCGTACAGCATACTTAAGCGCTGAAGAAAGACATACTGCTGGCTGCAGAAGGATTAAAACTGAGCCTAGAGGACCTTCATAAGATGCTAAGTCAAGTCAAGACTATCAGTTATAACAAGGTTCAACGTTCCAACCATTTATTTTTTCTTTACCCGTACTGCGGCGAAGAAGTTTCAGTGCACGGTAGTCCCGTTCAGACGCCGCCTGTATCGGCTTCACAATCCTTATGCTCCGAGCGCGGGGTCAGTGTGGAACCGAGAGGTTGGATTCGACGGCACCCGATTAACGACTATAACAGAAATACGTCCTTTTGCTGCATGACGTCACACGTTTTATGGACATCAGGCGGCTTCCCGTTTTTTTTACAGAACATATTAGTGCTGAGGTGGATCTGGAGAAGTTGGACGCGTGTACACCCAACTCCCACACCTCCACGGTGTGGTAATTAACAGTTCAGTTGGCCGGTTGCCCCGAGATTCTTCTCGTCATCGTGCGCATCCGCTGGCATGGGACCTACATCGTTCTGAAGAATAATGAGGCGGGGCGGCGGCTGCAATGCTTGGGGTGCAAGACTCTTTGCCACCCCATATATAAATGTAGTTATTCCGCTGGACAACTACAGGGTTCGGGATGTGTGCTTGCATTCGAAGGGGAAGTATTGGATCTTGAGGGTTTCGCTGTTTCATTTTTACAGCATTGAATAAATGAAAGACGTGGCACCTCAACGGATCAGCTTTACAGAACCGAGCGGATAGGGTGGTAGAATCGTCGGTTAATACACCCGAGTTGCACGTCCGCGTGGACAGAATAAGGTCTCACTCCTACTATTTCTACAAGTGTGCAGGATGTCAGCTCACATGATAGCGGCGGGGCGGCATCCCAACAATTGCTCTCGGCGAGTCCCGATGTTGTACCCATTCCATCTCTGTAACCGCTCTGAGTCACGGTGTCTTGACGAGGTCGCACAAACCGTTGTGGAACCATCAAAGCGGTCAATAATCGTCGAACTACTGTGTTCACCCGGTATGCAGCCCTTGTCGGATCTTGATGAGGAGTTGTGTGAACCAGGAAGGACGGTGACGGCGGACACTTCTCCGCAGATTGCAATGAGGAGAGGTTTGCCGCGCGAGAGGTGGAACCATTATCTGTGCCTGTTTATAGTTCTGAAGGTGCAGCTGCGCATTTCAAGGTCCACCACCACAATTGCCGAGTACGCCTCAATTAGTAGCTTTGAAGCAAAAGGAACGTGCTGAGTGCTAAGGTTCGAAGACTACTTCAGGAAGCGTACAGCCTAAAAGACCAGCTTATGGAGATGCCCGCTGTAACCAAATTGGCATCCTTTACGGAATATTTGATTTTACGAGTGTTGCGTTTGTGGAACGTCGCCGCGCTGGCGACAGGTCATTTTCTGGCACTTGCGGTGGTACAAGCACTAGCCAACGAAGACCTGCTTCAAATGGGGACTATACTGCATATCGCTGCGTCTTGTGTCAAACGAGGGTTTAAATACACAGGTCAACTGCACATGACGGATCAATATGACCATGCGGAGTGGCCAGAAACTCTAGGTAATATACGGCCAGTATGGATGGCTATGTCCATTTAAGAGTCTACCAAACAATTTAAATGGTATCTCGAGGAAAACGCTGCCAGCGCCACGGAATAGGGTAATGCGGGTCGGTCACTAAAACTGAGAAGTAAGAGCCATGCTTCAAACGGCAGCCAGTTTTGCAACGAGATGCTAACCTAATCAGGCAGCCGAGCGAGTTTCACAACCCATGGCGCTGCTGCGTATGAAGGCCAAGCTCGATGATTACGGCTAACAAGGTTGATTGAGACAGGCCAGCAGCTCATCTTGACTGTACCAGAATATGTCGAGACGATAGCGACAGCCAAAAGAGCGGACCCAATGAATTTCCCTCTTTACTCCGGTACACAGACCGCCCCTATTCGGCCAACATTCACTGTACGCTACCTGGTCCACATGACTTAGGGGTCTCGGCGGATGACGGCAGCGGTGAGGACATGGATATTTCGCAAGATGAGTTCAGTGATGAAGAGATGAAAGGAGAAGACGATGTGCTGGAAGGGGTGGTTGGTGCTGCTACTCGGCCACGCTAGGGGTGACATCAACGAGCTGTCGACCAGACTAGCAGCTGGTGACATCACGTACACATTGCGCCAAAATGTTCAGCTGATTCTTCGATGCTCGGCGTCGTCCCGATGTCCCGAACTTCTCGAGTTCCTTGTTAATCGGCGGCCGCCAGCTCTGCGAACACCCAACTCTGCTTAATGGTGACAAATCTTCTGCAGACCAGCCCGGCGTAAACACAGCGGCTGCAACTGGACTATCATATCCCGGATACGGTGGTGATACAACGGCAATCTTGGGCGGCCGAGCGGGCGGCTAATTCCGACATCAGAGTTGATGGTACGGATCTCCAGCAGTCGCAGGGTTCTTGTCTCAACGGTGAAAATCGGAAGGGTGTCCTAGCAGACAGTAGCGCTGACACTGCCCCCCCCACACATTTAATATCAGAACTGCCATCGCCGGGATCTACGTTTACATGGATCTATCCAGTTCAGGCGCTAGTGGTGCCGCCGGGGGATAGTGACCATATCAGCAAATTAATTCGTCACCAGTCCACGACACTGGTCACTTAACGTGGTGAGAGAGCTAAGCAGACGTTCCTGCTTGGTGGCGGGCGGTCCAGCGCTTTACTGATCGAAGGGTCCAGGTCCTGGAAAGACATGTGGCAAGACCTTGAGTCGGAGTGGCCGCGGACGGCACTCATTGGGTTTTCAACGGTGGGGTCCAATAACATTTCCTGGAACAAGGTGGCTCAAATGGAACTGCGGTTTCTTCCCAACATGATACGACGCTTTCCATATAGGAAGTAACTCCTGCAGGTTTGGACCACGCAACGAGGGCGTGGTCCGCGGTATGGTTCCAAGAATGTGTGTATGATCTTCTCTTCGTGTATCAAGACCGGACGTCTGACCATGTCACTAGAAGATGGCTTGATGAATGAAGGAAAGGACTTTGCGCCAAATGGCCCAATCTAAAATGGCGCACCCCGATAGTTTGGGTGATTGACAGGGGCTAAAACACAGCGGATACGGCGGAGACGACCTTGTCCGACGGTGTGACAGATCTTATTAGGGGTAACCAGATTGCCACACCCTCTGTGTGCTGCTATACTGTGCCAAGATCCAGTTCGTCACGGGTGAGGACGCCGCAAAAGACGCTGGCATTGCGTCCCAGTTGCGCCGTCATTTTAGCGGTTCTGAAAGCACTGACGGCATATCGCTCGGCATTCACGGAGATGGTAAATCAGGACGACTGGACGATACTCGACACGTTCTTTGAACACTATATCACCCCGATGAGTGTTCAAAGTACACACCAGTATTTAAAAGCATACATATTAGAAGTCCGTACCTTGCTTCGAGTCAACACGTTTCTCAGGTGGATTGATATGGCATGTACGATCGGCTCAAACGGACCGTAAACTTTCTAGCAGACGGGAAGGACGTATTCGCTTGGCAATTTTTTTTATCGGAGTAGAAAATTAGAATGTGATGGAATTTATGAAGGAATATAAAGCCGGTTGGTTCGAGGCCTGGCGAAGAATGCAAATGGGCCATCGCCCAATAGTTCGTTGCTTACAAGAAATGCATGTGGATAGTAAGCAGTTAGCAAAGGGTTGCAAGACGACTGGAAGCGCAAGTGGGGACAACTACAGCATATCACAGGGTCTCCCCTGCCATACTGGAGTGTCGGTGCTGACAAAACGGTGTGCGTGTGGCAATTTTACTCGTAGCTAGCTTTTGTGTGTCTCTTCACTTAGTGATGAGGTACCCCTCATCACCTTGGAAGTGGAAGTGGCAAAAGATTTGTCACTTCGTGTATTAATTGAATGTGGGACGTCATACAACTTCGTTCGTCGCCAGTCGCTCGAGGATCGTAGGCTTAAGCTCGTCGAGTGTAACGGGGTGAATCGTTACATAACAATTTATAAGAAATTGTTAATAGAATATAACTATAAGAGTTATATTCTCAGAATATTGTCATAAGGACAATATTCTGTAGCACTCCCAAGTAGTTCCTAATTGGTTGATATAGGCCATTATATCAACCAACGAAGACGCGCCACGACAGACGCACGCAATGAGTGGTGAGCAGATAACTGATTTACACATTTGTATTTAGACATAGTTAGATGAAGATAAATAGTGATTTATTGCAGACATTAACTATTATAAATACAGTTCTACTTTTTACTCTAACCGAGTACTCGCTTCTTCTTACCGTCTTCCTCTGCACGTACGAGTGTACGTGAAGTTACGAGGCACCGCCTTATTCTGTTATCAGAATAAGTAGCTTGTACTGTCACCAGTACAAGCTTCAGGGTGCCCCGTTACACCTGGTAGCACTTCGTAGTCCGTCCAAGGACCGCGTTCACATCCAACATGAATATGTTGGATGATGAAGATGACCAAAGCTTTCACGCTACGCGTGACGGCTACTCCCATTTGAGCGATGTCGAATGGGATGCGGTTGAACGAATGGGTTCGACCATGGGCATCCATGCTGTTAGCGTCATGCTAGAGGCTCTCAATAGAGATGCCCAACATGCTACTATCGCCAAGTTCATTCAAAATGAACTTGACGCAGAACGCGAGAAAGTAGCCTTGCTTCACCAACAAGGTTCTCAACAAGCAGAGTTGTTGAGAGAACAAGGTGCTCAACAGTTTGAACTGTTGAGACAGCAGCAGGCTGCTGCTGGCGGGTCGATGCACTCGCGTCGGCCCGAGACTTTGAAGATTGACATCTCAAAGTATAGGGGGTCGAAGAAGACTCCCTCTTGAGATGGTTCGTCGAATTGGATGACGCCATAAGGGCGCGTCGCATCGACGACGGGGATATGCAAGTTGCATTTGCCCAGTCAAATCTGGCAGGACGTGCCAAGACTTGGGCACTGGGGCTCAAGCTGCACGACCCATACGCGTTTGGGTCGTTGGAAGTTCTTCAAGTCGCGGCTCAGACAAACGTTTGAACCGCCTAGAGCTGAGTTCAGAGCTCGAACCGAACTCTTGAAGCTCAAGCAGGGTAAGCGTGATGTGCACGCTTACGCTCAACATATACGACATCTCACGAGTTGTATAAGTTCCAATCCGGTGGATGAACACACGTTGGTTTCGGTGTTCATGCAGGGTCTTGCGGATGGTCCCGTCAAGACTCACCTGTTCCGGCTTGAACTAGATTCACTAGAACAAGCCATTTCAATTGCGGAGCAGGAAGACTTCAGTCTGAGACAGGCTCGCGCCAGCTCGACATCATATCGTCAACCGAGACGATATGACAACGGAGGTCCAGAGCCGATGGAACTCTGTTATGTAGAGAGCGAGAAGGCTCGCTCTACAGGCTACAAGAAGTTGCAGAGATGCAACAGATGTCAAAAGACAGGACACTACGCTTACGAGTGTAGTGCCCCTCGTCCAGTGTCTCGCGACACTGGGCGTAGTGACCGTCCACCCATGAGAAAGGGGCAGGGACGAGGGTCCGCAGTTGGTGCAAAGACGCAACAACGGGATGGACCGTCAAAAAACGGACAGGATCAGTAGGTGCGGAGCACCCTACTGATCCAGCAACGTCAAGAGAATTTGTAGGCCTCTTGATGAAGGTTGCTCCCAACACACAAACGTTGTGCGTTGCTGCTCTAGGTAATGAGATCTCACTCATTACCTTGAAACTCGAAGTGACGAATAAGTTGTCCCTTCGAGCTCTAGTCGATTGTGGGGCGTCCAACAATTTTTGTGCGACGCCAATCGCTAGAAGATGGTCACTTTAAATTCAGTGAATGTGACACACCTCCTACGAGGATGACGGTACGTCTTGCGACAGGCGCATCCGTAACCGTCATGAAGCGTATAGTGAAGATTCACTATACGCTAGAAGATACCCAATACGACGATGACTTTATCGTATTGGATTTGGATGACAAATTTGATGTCATCCTTGGAATACCGTGGCTCAGAAGGTACGAACCACGGGTAAACTGGCAACATCGGACAGTAACGATGCCTGCCGCTTGTTCATCAGATGGCCATCTGATGAACGTTTTGGAGCGTCCACAAGCGTGTGGATGTACTACGAGTGAGTGCGATGGCCTCACTTGTGGTACGGTCGTTAGTACGACTGCACAAAACCTTAGTGTACCAAACGGTTACACTTCGGAGCAAAGTTCCGGCGGCTGTGAGGGAAACACAGGCTGCGCCGAAGGTCCACCACTCGAATAAGTCGGGTGGACTGGGACAAAGATGTATCCCTAGAGGGGAACATCTAGAAGAGAAACAATCGATCGCTCAGGTTAAGCGAAACGATAATCCTAGATCTACTGGAGAGTCTTTCGTAGAGGATCTCGCTGTGGTTGCGCAACCCCAGCTAGAGGAAGTAAAGGGAATAAGTCCCAAGATTACAAATACGGCGGAAATAAGTTCCCCGAAACCCGCGGGAATAAGTCCCCGGGAAGACGAAGGAATAAGTCCTTCGAAGCCTGAGGGAATAAGTCCCCAGGAAATGACAGAGACATTGAATGTCATAGTCAATAACGGATCATGTGTAGGCGCTTATACACTTGATCTGATTGCGCCTCCGAAGTTAACTTCGGAGATCACTCAGTTGCCAACGCTCGAACATAAAAGATTCTTGCGTGATCTGCGTAGTGGCAAAGTCAAGCAGATCTGCATACTCGTCGCTGAAGACGAGTATGTAACCGACATAAGGTCAGCAACAGTGTTTACTGAGAACGAGAGAGTTCTCAGTAGTTCATCTATGGACGAGAGTGTCCTAGATGAAAAGACACGAATTGAGCGATATGAGTCCCAATCATGGGAATCGCTCAAGGAAAATCCTCTCTATGAAGATTTGGTTGAATTCAAGGATGTATTCCCTGAAACTGTTCCGTGCGAATTACCGAAGGATAAAGGTATTCGACACGAAGTCGAGCTTAAACCAGGCTCGAAGTACTGTGTCATGAAGCAGTGGCCACTGCCTCGTGAACAAGTACTTGCGATCGACAAGTTCTTTGCCGATCGTTTAGCAGCGGGCCATGTGAGGGAATCAACTTCCCCACATAGCTCTCCGACCTTCTGTGTGCGAAAAGCAACAGGATGGTGGCGGATAGTGCACGCGTTTAACAAATTGAACGCTGCAACGGTACCGGCTCAGACGCCGATACCGAGGAAGGACGTAATCATTGATGGTATGTCAAAGAGTACCATCTTTTCGTCCATGGATTTGATGGATGGCTTCTATCAAATCCTAATGCGGGAACGGGATATACCCTATACCGCAGTTAGCACGCCTAGCGGCATGCTCTGGGAATGGCTAGTAATGCCACAAGGGCTCAGTAATGCCCCTGCCACGTTCAACAGGTGTGTATCACATCTGTTGAGGCCAGTACGAGAATTCGCGCCGAGTTATTTCGATGACGTATTCATCCATAGTCGAGCTATGGATGGAAAGTCGGACGTTGAGGTTCACAAGTACCACGTCCGACAAGTTCTTACAATCATGCGAAAGCATCAATTGTATGCAAACCTCAAGAAGTGTATATTTGCAGCAAGCGAAATACCACTTCTTGGGTGCATCGTTGGTAAGAACGGTGTACGTCCTGATCCCGAAAAGATCAAGGCGATCACCGACTGGCCCGTGCCGGTCGATGTCAAAGGTCTTCGAAAATTCCTTGGGCTAGCGGCGTATTTGCACAAGTATTCACGCAATTACGCCGAGATGACTGTACACCTCTCTCGTTTGTTGAAAAAGAACGAGAGGTGGTTATGGAACGCTGAATGTCAACGCTCCTTTGAGGGTATCAAGCAGAGCTTGATACAATCCCCAGTCCTAGCAATAGCCGATCAGGACAGGCCATTTCATGTGGTCTGTGATGCCAGCGATTTCGCAATCGGCTGTGCATTAATGCAGTACGACCTTGAAGGCGTTGAACGCGTCGTCTGCTATCAGTCGCGTCAGCTGCAACCAGCTGAGCGGAACTATCCAGTGCATGACAAGGAACTCCTTGCCATGAAGTATGCACTCGCGAAGTTCAGATTCTATCTATTAGGAGATAGACCCTTCGTTGTTTACACTGACCATGCGTCCTTACGCACGGCAGTGAACAGCCCGCACCTTTCACAACGAATGGCGCGGTGGTTGTCATTCTTTGCAGAATACAACTTTACGGTCGAGTACAAACCAGGACGACTTAATGTCGTCGCTGATGCACTCTCACGTCGTCCCGACTTTGAAACAGTCGCGAAACCCAACAGTGAGACAGTCACTGTTGCGGTTATGACGTCCTCAGTTCCATCTACAACGTTGTATGATGATGTGAGGCGGGCATACGCCCAAGATGGTGAGATAGTGAAGTTGTTGTCACATCTCTCCCAACCATCTCGAGAATCGTTGAAACGATTGTCGTCTGCGTATCGATCTGCATCAGATCGATACACTACTCGTAACGGTTTACTGTACTATACAGCCGTTTCTGGTGACACACCACGTGTTGTCATTCCAGATGATACTGATCTGCGCTTGCGGATCATGTTCGAGTATCACGATGCTCCTATAGGAGGACATCGTGGCCGAGAGAAAACATATCTCACGGTAAGTCGAGACTTTTACTGGCCCCGCCAGTATCAGTTTGTGCGAAAGTATGTTCGCGCATGCGAAGTCTGCCAACGAGTGAAGTCAAGTCCTTCACTGCGTGCACCTTTACAGCCTCTACCGGTTCCGGCTGAGTGCTGGGAATCCATCTCAATGGATTTCGTCTTCGGGTTACCCAAAGACGCACGCGGGAATACGGGTATTCTCGTATTTGTTGACAGATTCAGCAAAATGGTACACCTTGTGGCTGTACCAGAGACAATCACGGCAAGTGGCTGTGCTTGTGTCTTTATTGACACCATCTTCCGACTTCATGGGTTGCCCCGTGAACTCGTATCAGACAGAGATCCACGATTCACTGCTGATTTCTGGCGTTCCGTGTTCAAATCACTCGGAACGCGCTTGAAGATGTCAACATCTGATCATCCAGAGTCAGATGGTCAGACGGAACGTGCCAATCGTGTCCTTGAAGAGATACTTCGAGGATACGTACACTCCTTTAAGAGTTGGAGTGAGTTTTTGCCGATGGTAGAGTTTGCCATCAACAACTCGGTGCATGCGTCCACGACACATACACCGTTTTACGTGAATGGCTTGCGCCATCCGCGTGTACCCACCTTACTAGAGTGTAACTCTGGTTTAAGGGGGAGGGACTCGCGCGAGCAAAAACCGATTTGGTTCACGCTCATCACGCTCTGACGAAGAAGTCATTGCGTTTGATGCCGATATCGATAACATCGATATCGAAGAAGATGATGCCAGTGAGAGTGCGGAAGCCCTCACTGAAGACAATGATCCCAGTGAGAGTGCGGAAGCCCTCACTGAAGAAAAGGTTGTTGTCGCTGCAGTGCGCTCACAGCACACTGAAGCTAACGAGTCATCAGATGAGTTCATACTGGCTCGTGAAACGGTAGTCCGTTTTGTGCAAGACTCCATCGCCGAAGCGGTGGATAAGCAAAAGCAAAACGCTGACAAGAATGGAAGGGCAAACACTCTTTTATTTAATAAAGGTGACTTAGTCCTACTGTCTACGGTTAATCTACCAAAACATGTAGTGACTAACTTGGGTAGCAGTAAACTACTACCCAAGTACATTGGCCCATTTCGTGTATTGCACCGCCTAGGCAATGCATACACGATCGAGTTACCACGTAAGATGCGAACGCATCCCACGTTTTACGTTGGTCGGCTTAAGCCGTACCATCAGTACGCTGCTTCTTCCGATGAAGAACGCCCTTGCGCTCAAGCATCTCGCAGAGAGCCTTGTGCTCCCGATGGTGGGCATCAACAAGGGTCTGAAGAGCAGTTATCTCAGCCCGAGACCGATCAACAATCCCACGAGCTACCCTTAGCTCGTCACGAAGAGATGTCAGAGATCTCTCGTTCTCA